CTATCAGCATTGCATAAGTGTCTCAGAAACATCTACAATGCGAAAAGTTACGTGTCACATTTCTGATTGGATGATAACCTACCATGATACTATGTTTATTTACGTTACAGAAGCCCAGAATCATCTGGAACACTATAAATACCCTCGATTTTCTGCACATAAACCAACCTTGCAGTAAAGCCTTCTTTCTACATTTCGTGCCTTTGTTCTCAAGTTCAAGTTGCCGTGTATATTTAGTCTGAGGTTATTAGAAGAGCTTAGAAAACCGGTTTAAACGTTTAGTCAGAAGAATTATCACACTGGCTGTAAAAATGAATTGACGTCTATGTGGTTTATTTACATAGATCAACTGTGCAGCAAATCTAACCCAGCAGATTAAATCACTAGATAAGAGTTTTCTAAACGTACAATACCATATTATAGAATACATAGTAAAATACGGTTACAAAATTTACAAAGCAGAAATTATGGCGTATTTCAGTACTTTATAAAAAATTTTCAACTAACCTAGAACTTTGTGTTATTACATTTTTATGAGGAACATAATATGTATCATACATTTAATTACCTTTACATTTTCGATGCCATCTAATTATATTACATTATATACAATAAGTTAATTCTTTTTAATTTTTAACTTCGTCCTTTTTTAACCTCTTTATATTATGCTGTACTTACTTAATTACCCCTGTTACCCATCGTGAAGGAGCATAGGCCACCCACTAACATTCTCCATCCAACTCTGTCATAGGCAATCCTTTCTAGTTGCTAATCATCCTTTTCGCGTCTGTTTCCGATTCTCTTATTTAGAATCCAATAATCTATTTCCAGATTCAACCACTTTTTGACAGAAAGTAATTTCCATCCGATATGAACGGTAAAACTGATTCAATCATCATATTTTATAGCATGAATTAAAAGTATATTGTTCTAAGAAATATTTTATAACTGACCAAGAAATAAAGCTGAATTTCTATGAAGAGATTATGCTCAGTCTAAAGATAAAATACAGACGTAGACAATAAAGATACTTTGGAGAACATTCACATCCTTCATTTACGCAGGCAGAAGTAATACGTTTTCCACATGATACATTTACTAGTACATAGTCAACAACACCAACAACTCATCAAAATGTATTCAATTCCGATACCCTAAATTTTCGAACTACCTGTTTTCGATAAGCAACTTATTTTAAGGATAATATTTATGCTCAGTACACAATACAGTGAACCAATTATTTTACTAACCTCATAATTTGAATCCAATGTACAAAATAATGTTCCATTTTTACTACATTTACTATAGGGCTCGCAATTTCTCGGGTTTTTTTGCCTTCGAATCTTTTCTTTCGTCAACATATCAGGCTAGTTAGGTAAAAGAAAAAAAACTGGGATAAGTTTGGGTGAAGTAAATACTACACACTACCTATTAGTATAGATTTGTAGCGAGTGTTGAGTTCCATAGTTTACATCACGGAATGACTCTAATTAGACAATCTGCAAAAGCAAAGAAGCACTAGACAGCTTTTTTGTTCTAGTATGGGAATCGTCGGCAATGTGTCGCTAACCCCACGGGGTAATGAACCTTTTGTCGACACTTAGATCCTAAGTTTCTAAACTACCTTATGCAATTTATTTCTATTATTCTACTAATCTCGAATTGTATCTTCCATATCTGATCTTTTATACAACCCCTAATACTGTTAGTACATGTTTTACTCTGGTATGTTTTGACAATTTCATTTCGCTGCGTTAGTAGGGTGTGGTAGCTTAAACGAATACACACATGAGGTAGGTTCTACGTTGCATATGACTGAGTGACTGAAATAAGAACAAACGAATGTTCAGTGTCTGTAGGTTTTCTAAGATTACAAATTTATAAGGGGATGTTACGTCAGCTAAATAAACTGCTTGATTTGCATGTATAAGATTTCATTTTTATAGTCAATAATTTCTAGTTTTCTCCCAATTGCTATAATTATGAAAATAAGTGGTAATATAATATTAACATTTTCCACATGTTCGCTAGTGTAATGAGTCAGAAATTTTGTATTATATTTTTTAACTCCGTCTACAATTGTAAATATATACTTTAAAAACTACCGTTGTCCATTCTGAAGTCAGTCTGTAAATGAAAAGCAGATTCAAAGTTGTGAAATTTTGTATCTTTTCATATTAACAAACAATATCAACTCATATAACCATATGAAAAATCAATCTACTTACATAATTTCTCGTTTGTCTTATCTTGTATATACTATTTGGTAAGCATTCATTACTATCTCTATCCCATTTACTTGAATTATCACAAGGACATTCATATTCATGTGTAAATATACCATAATTTTTACATACTTTAAATGAACAATCTTCTTGTATAACACATGGGAATGGACAAAAAATACGATCATTTATAATTGGTTCTAAATTTTCTTGATATCGACTATAACATGCAGTTAAACAAAGTGCATTTAAAAAATTCAAATAGGTTACATTATTTATGGTTCTTATTGTTTCATTTTTTTGAGTTTGTTCAAATGTTTCAATAATAACTCGATCATTGTTATTTTCTATTGGAATTAAATATTCAATAAATAGTTGTCTTATAGAATTCCAACAATCATCAAACATTTGAATTGTTTTATTAAAACATTTATGGGAATGTATACTTTTTAATTTGTGCAATTTATTAATATTTGTTAAATTTTCAATACTGAACCATTTCAATTTACCAAATAATGGTAATGTGCTATTTAATATAATATGTGTAAATCCTGTTTCTAACATTGAATTTGTACAAAACAAATTAGATTTTTGTAAATATTCAACGGTATAATTTATATGAATTAGATAGAAAATGAATAAATTTAATATATATATGTAATTCATCGTGCAAAACATACATATCACTTCATGGAAGTAATATGAATTCTTACACATCTAGTAATGACGAACGAATTTGAAATAATCAATAAGTATATTAAAGAATGATTTTTTACGTAATAGAATTGGATCCGTTATCGTTTAGCATCAAATTCTTAATCATATTATTATTATTGTCATTAAAATGAATTATCAAAAACTATAATACACACCGACTTAAGTACTGATACATTTATCAAATGGCCACAGTTATAAATAAACCGTAGGAATATTGAGAGTACAATCATTATAAACAATATAAAAATGCATTACAGAAGCTTAAAACCAGTCGTAATTGGATGAAAACAAAGCAGAATAACCATTCAGACACAATTATTAGTATTCTAACATTTAATAATTCATACGCCGAATACAGGTTTACATACTCGAATTTCCATTGCACAATATGCATAAGTTTAGTGATAGTATTTAAACCAAATGAAGTGGAATACAGTTCGAACATGTTATCTACCAATTGAAGGTTAAGCAATCTATATATTGAGCTGATTTTTCATTTGACATAAACAAGTGCCAGATTTAGTGACCGAGATAAATTCCCAGAATCGTTGTTTGATAAAATAACAAATAACCATGTCTCATTATTAAAAATTACAGATGACAACTGTGTAAAAAGAATTTGCGAATAACAACTACTATAGAGAAACTCTATATCTATTTCTGCATCTGCGTCCATTTGTAGTATTTGACAGTGTAGCTGCCCTGTAGACATATTCATTTGGAGAATACAGCCAGATAACTATGTTGTAGAATTCCTAAAACATACACTAGGGTAGTTGGCAGCTTGGATGGTAGATACCTGACGGTAACTGAACTTACGGATTACAAAGTCGTTTGTTGTCTACCATTCGATTCGTATCGCAAGTTACGTATATATTTATATCAGCGTTCATCACATTAAAAATTCCTTTTATATACTGAAAAATTTAAATTGTCCGCACAACCTTAGCCGATGAAATAATCATAGATTTCGCCTAAAATTTTATATACTCGAAAGAACAAAAACATTTACCAGAGACCTATCGTCTTTATTTTAAACTGGGATTTTCGTTTTTTATTATGTAATTTCTGAACTTCAGAGTACTATAAACAATATTTAAACTTAGTTAACGTACTTCTTGAATCATATTCACAGTCACTACTTATATGGATAACTTAAAGTCCATAAAAAGTTTTGATTAATTCATTACTAAATAATTGGTACTTATTTTATTATTGGTTGTAAAACTCAAACAACATTAGTGCAGATACATAATGATGAGTAAATAGAAAATTCATTGATAAATTAATCTTTTTCCTAATCTCTAAATATGGAAATATTCACTTCACTTCATTAATTGGCATATTTGTGAAAATTCATCTAACCTGATAATAGTGTAGTGAACGAGAATACAAGCGGAGACAATTGAATGTATTTGAATACAAAATAACAGAACATCTTAGTAAAATCTGAGAACCGTACAGTAAATACGTCATTTGCAAAATGACAATCATTCGTCTCAGACTTCATTGCTCTTTCGTTTTCACACCAATCCTTTTTTGTTATCGTTCTCTTTTCTTCGACCTTCTTAACCTTCTGCCTCCAGGCATTTCACTTTCCATTGATGATACATACTGCTTATATCTGTCAACATCAGTAGCACACACCACAATAGTAATTATCACGAATCGACAGTAACTACAGAAAGTCGTTGAAAAGTACGTACAGTTACAGGTTAGAACGCAAAAAACTGGCCTGATGGTTTCCGCTCTTTAATGATATTCCAGAAGATATCAGTTCCTGTTGAAGATTATCCTTAAACTTAATTAATCAGTACAGAGTGTATAAGTCAAACACTTTGCGATAGTTAATGCGATCGTAACAATTGAAACTAAATGAAGTTGACTTTCGAGAACAATTTTTTTTTTGGTAATTTCTTGAACAATACAACTACTGGTCTACAGAAATATCTTTCTAAAGTATAAACAAACAAGAAAGTTAATTGTGAAACTCAATTCTGCATAAAAAACATTTTCAATCTGTTTTAATTGACTAAGATAGGTAAGTAATAAATTCAGTGCCTCTTGAAGTGATCACCACCACATATAATAACACAATAAATTCCTCTTTTTATACACTAAACAAGAATATTTCTATTGACCAATATATTCTAAGATCAAACAGAAATTTAAGATAAAGAAAAAATTGTTTTATTATCACAGATAATTTACGAAATTCACAAAACAATTAGTAAAGTACAAATATTGAAAAAATATTGATCAAAGTTATTGTTCTACGCAATAAGTTCCACCAATAACCATTTATACATGAAGAACAATCAATATTCCGAAATGAATTTAGCTCATGTCATTTAACGTGCTCTAATTCTCTCACGTACCCACTGATTTGTATCAATAGATAAAATATTTTACATTGTAACCATGTGTGTAATATGTATGAAGTTAATTAGTTCATCAATGAAGAATAATTATAAATACTTACCCTATTCGTACAAGTCCAGTTTATACGTGAATGGATTGTGGTGTGTGCTGCTGATGTTGACAGATATAAGTAGTATGTATCATCAATGGAAAGTGGAATACCTGGCGGCAGTAGGTTGAGAAGATCGAAGAAAAGAGAACGAGACCAAAGAATGATTTGTACAAAAATAAAGGGACATTAAAGTTTGGGACAATTGATGGACATTTTTCAAATGAATTGTTTACTGTATGGTTCTCAGATTTTACTAAGATGTTCTGTTATTTTGTATTCAAATACATTCGATTGTCTCCGCTTGTATTCTCGTTCAAGACAGATTCAGTGAGGGGAAGGATATAACGCGAATGGGCAGGAAAAGTAAGTACAAATTTTTATGATTACAGTAAACAGAACGATGAAATCGATGGTAACAACCGAAAATCAATTGTAAAAGTGATCAGAATAATGGTGATAATAACACTAATAATGACAATAATAGTTGAAGAGGATATGCAAAAACAAAATACTAAGTAGATAAGAGGTCAAACATTTTATCGAATAGTGCTAAAATAACAAGACCAGTTGTAATAACCACAAATCAGGAATGAAAATGACTAAAATGAACAATAAATGCGTTACTGTGATCAAATGAAAGTGTGGTTAGGCAAACTAAGCAGATTTAAGAAATTGCTGACAGTTTAAAATATCTTCAAAGATGAGAGAGGAAAAATGGAAGGGAAGGTTATCAGCAAAACGGTCACCTCGAGTGTCAAGTAAACCACAAGTACCTTTTGTACACACAAATTCATATTGAGACTCCTGACAACAGCGCCTTCTGCATAAGTAGGACTCTGAAATAGTCCTGTATATTTATCACATGGAAGGTATTATCAGGATTTACTGGATGATCAGTGTCCAATTTATGTCTTCCTATGACACCACCAGGTAGTTTGGAGCAATTCACGACCAAATTATTCGGCGTATATCCCGAGGTTCTTTTAGATAAGTCTCTATGATATTCCAAAGTACGTACTATTGCAAGTACAGCATGACTGCATGTCAATGGTCTCTTCTGATCGGAAATCAGCGATTAAAGACTTCACATTAAAAGAAGCTATAAGTATTTACAACTATATTTTAGTGGTGAACTAAATGACTTCATACACATATAGCTACAATGTAAAACATTTTATCTATTGATACATGAGAGAATTACAGCATACGACATGGAATGAACTCGATTTATCCTATAATGGTAATTGTTGTTGCGGCATAGAAATTATTGTGAATTATTGTTTTTATTCACATAGATTAATTATGATATAAGTGGATTACACAATTCGAAAATGGAATGATGAAACGTGTCCATATAGTGAGGAAAGTTGAGGATCTGTATTATAAAGGAAACAATAATAAATGTTCAACGTAAGGTGTGAAACGAAGTTAATAGCAAGTGATTAAATGACAGTAACAAAATATTAAGCTAATAATTTCTTATCTATTAAAAAACAATCACTTCTCTGATTTATTCACATTAATTCGATCTAATTCTGTTGACCTCCTTTTTTAGCATTGTAATACATTATACTCAATGATTGTTTCCCACGCGTGAAATGAACATTCTAGGATCCAATTTCTTCTTCGAATATTTTTTAACTTTAATCGTTTAAGTTGATTAAATGATATGAAGTCTATTGATATTTTAATATTCAACTTACTACTAACATATCGATCATTTCAAAGGGTTCCTTGATCATGCTATTAAACAGCAGACACTTTAATGAAAAGTACGATTGATCTCGGTGAATTTTTAAGACAACAAACTCGAACAATGTGTTATCTTTTAATAGAATTATAAAAATGTCAGGACCAACACCCCCATCATCATAACCAACTTAATAGGAAAATGATACTTTGGATTTTACCTAGTAAATCAAGATTTCCTTTAGGTTTTAAGCAGATATTCAACTATCTAAAAACTGCTGCGAATGATTCCTGGCATGAGTAAGATTATTCTACCCATCTTAATTACAGAGGGCCATATAAATTGATTTGTAAGTCACAGTATTTCGGGTTTTCTTACAATATAAAACTTCCTGTGGCTATTGTTGAACATCGCAAAGTTGGCACAACGTTTGAGGAAGGTGACAGAACTTGGGCTTGTAACAAAAGTTACTGGTAGTCGGAACCGACAAACAAAATAAGGCGCGAGATAAATGTGTATGGATTTGAATTACTACATCACAGTCAAAAAACGTAGTCCACCTTACCACATTTTAGCTCAATAGTGTATTTCACCCCCGACATCAGTGCTGAGCAAAATAAAATAGTATATAACTTAACAAATTCTTGAAACAATTCGAAAATCAGAAAAGAAAGTTTGAAAACAATGGGTAAGTGACCACTGAGTAGTTTAATCTAACTGGCGATCCTTCTTTAAAGTAGTAACAGTATCAGAAAATTATTGTGTAATCACTTAAAGATAGAAAATAAAGTCGATGTGCTTATGATCGATTTTTGGGAAACAGTAGCCAACACACATACAAGCATATATTCGAAGTAGTCATACATATGTCAAAAATCATATATCTACCACTAATCTTATACACAACAGGGTGTTTTCCTACATATTGGGACAAATGTCAAAATATTTCTATATACTTAATAAAAAGATACAGTATTTACCTTCCAAGAGGTAGAGCCTTAACGGTATTATGATAAGCATCGAAAAACATTTTAACTTCTCTTGATGGCCAATTCAGTGCTCGCATTGGTTCAATTAACTAAAAATCGAAAGAATACACCACTACTTAAGACAGGAAATAACTGCTTGTATAGAACAATAATAATAATGATAGTCATGCTAAAAATTAGATATTCGATTCAGAAAATTCAATTTTTAGTAGTAACTAAAGAGAACAGTATAAGGGAGACAGAACTATGAAACCGTGTAAAACGGTTAGAATTTGAATGAAATTAACCTTACAACCAGAAGTGACGTACTTACGTTTTTTGAAACTCCGCTGCAGCATTTCCCAAAAGGCGATAATACGAGAGAAACTTTGAAGTGATCAAACTGCCCATTAACCATTTCATAGGGTTGTGTGGCACAACACGTTTCGTATGAGAAGTGCTACTACTATCAGACCTTTTCAGTACATAATTTATTATTTGTAAAAATGTAATGTATATATGATGCAACTACTACAGAACATCAATAATTCAATGATTTAGAATTTAAAAATACCTTTTCAACAATGTCCAAGAAAAAATTTCGCATTTCTCGGGCGTGGCTTAGACCACAGGCTAAATTTATCACTGCTTTGGAGATAGGCTAAAAATATAGGAAAGGATAAAAAAACAAGATTGTCAATGCTTTGTTAGGATTGAAATATGATTTTTATAGGGAAAGGGAGGGAGTTATCTCTCATCTCTTAAGAGATCTATTAATAAAACCACTGTTAATTTAAATATCTGAACAAATTAATAAAATCGCACAACTTAGAGTAGTCACAGTGTAGAAATTTTTGTAAGTGATATGTACTTATACTAAGTGGAACAGCGGATTTTAACAGACATTGCATGAGACTACTATCAAACTACACTGACAAGACAACATGAGGTGAGTAATAAAAGTGCAGAACTTTACTTGCAATAGCATGGATAAGAAATCGTTTAATGAACCTGGCCTTTCCGAGTTGAGCATGTTAGACGACTCTTTGTGCTTGACCATCGTTATCTCTGAAGGATTGCTGACATCCAGTGGCAACACCATATTAGTAATGCAGAGGTTCGGCATCGTATGTTATGGCACAGAGATGATAATTCAATTGGTGGAACTATCTTGAAACATCGACTTCGGGTGGCTTGAACATGTCCTACGAATGTTGTCCCAGAGAATTCTACGTCGTGCATTATTTGCCGACTCTGGGACTGGTTGGAAAAAGTGGAGGAGTGGTCAGTGTATGAAACAAAGCCGTACAGGACTGGTTCCTGTTGGTCCTTCACAACTCCCTGGTTGGGGTCCTAGAGATTGTGTAACACAGTGACTAGAGACGTTATCAGATATTGCCTAGAATATGAGCCAGTGGAGACCCTACTGTAACTTTATTTTACTTTCTTCATGAAAAATGGACGTAACTTCTCTAACTGAAAGAATTCTTTCTGGTTGAACTTTTGCGAACTGAACTCTTTCTTCCGTTATTATATACTCCACTCTCATACATTAATTTCTGTTCGTTATTGTTCGCTTTTTTCTTATACGCACCTTACATTTTTTTTATCTCATCACATCCTCATTGTTATTGTGTGGCGCATATGTATCTGGTACCCCTTTGTACCAATATTTATTCCTTCAACTAAATAAATAAAACATCGGTTAATAATCAATGGTGAAAAACTTTTAGGCAGGCGGAGAGATAGAAGTTAATTTATAGGCAAACCTGTAGCTTACATTTTGTTTACATTCATTACTAGTCTGAATTACAAAATGTTAACGTTATTATGAAAAAATATATATTGCAAAAATCAGAGAAAATTGTCTAGTTAGATATACTCATTAACACAAACAGAAGATCTTTTTTTTGGCAGCTTGCACTGTAAAGAAATACTTTGATATGAACTTACTTTGAAGTTGGAGTCTAAATTTGTTAAAATGATTTTTGCTTGAATTTCAGAGAGATTGCGAATAACAAGTCTGTAAAGATAATAAAAACATGGATTGTATCGATATATTGATGAAAAAAAGGTTTATGAGTTGTTTTCGCTTAACTTGGTCATAGAATCAACTTTATACAGAAAGAAATATTTTTAAAAACTGTTATCCCTCAGTTTTAGTCGATGTTACGAATCTCCTAATGCGTAACTTATCAATCACCACGGCACCTCTTTAGACTGATTAATGATCAAAATTTTGGGGATATCTGAATGACCAAGTTTAAGGGATTCTTACAACACTGAAGACGTGGTTAAACACTGAAGTGCATCTTATAAGCTGTGAAAATACCAATATTTATATAGTGGCTATAACTAAAATGTCAAGAAAAATCAGTGGATTTCAGTAGCATTTACTGAATTGATAGATGATTAGAAACGGGACACGACGAGCAGAGAAAGCTTAAACTTAAACGTAGATTGACAAAAGTCTACACAATGATCGTGAGCAGTGGTGGCCAGCAAAAGCAAAACCGATAGAAAAGGCTTTGGCGATAAGCAACAATAGATAACTTTTTAGATTCATCAGAAAATAGGCATTATATGTTCGGGAGTTAGTGGGACAACTTCTGAAAAAGATTACCAAGATAAACGGTCTGAATAGTTAGTTGGATTTAGCGAAAACGAAATTTGTTATAAAAATATACGTTGGATTTCGTGCTCGGATGTAGAGTCATTAAGAACTAAACATAGGCTTATAATGCCCTATATTTTCGTTAAACGTCTAACAACATCAAACTCTCGAAACATATCTTGAAATGTTGATAAATAATATCTTTTAATTTGGACTTGGTAAAGATTATTCAAAGTACTTTCGATAAAGTCAAGTATATTCAAATGACATGAAAACAAATCGAATATGCGTTATGTCTTATTATTAAACATCCGAATCATGAAAAATAAACTCACAGTTTATGCTTATCTAAATATTCTTTTTTCTCAATCAGTGGTTTACATTCTTTAAGATCATGAAAAAATTGAAGGTCCAAATCAATACTGACAACCGTTTCACCTTTCTGATCTTTAATAATAAAAAACGTCAAGAACACTTATATATATATATATTTAAATATTGCTGTAAGGAATAAGAAATTACACACCAAAGATACATTTTCTTCAACCATCTAAATATCACATAAACGTCATCATAGTAATAGGATCCCGGACCGTAGCTGCTACCTTGACGTGGTGGTCGGGCTTGCCTGTCGTGATGATCCAACCGAACTATATTGGCTGGGACATATGTTCCTGTAAGTTCTACTATACCAGGTAGGTCGACTGGAGAACAGTAAGACTCAAAACAGCAAATCAGGGTCTGAGGGCGAAGTCGTACTGTTGACTGTAGAGGGCTGTGACAGCAATAAGGTGTTGCCCTCAGGCAACCAGCATCTGCAGCGATTCTGCTTTCTCATAAGGAAGGATGGGGTTAGAAAATATCGACCCTAGAAATGTAGCACCTCACCTTACCTCACGGATTCCCGTCTCCGGTGGTGAGGCCTTCTAAAGAACGAAGCTGACACTTCCCACAAAAAGGCCGTGCGCGACCGAACTCAAGCAGTTATCCCTTGGATTCTGCGGTCACGCTCCCAGGTCGTTATGACCAACACTAATCAGGTTCCTTAAGAAACACCCTTCCACAATGTGGGCAGCCGGGAAGTGACATTAGTCCTCAAACCCGTAACAGCACACGAGACCAAGTTGTTCACATTCAAATCCCTCCTACACCTCCTAATGCCTCTCTTATCTCCCCGACTTACCCTTCTCACGTTCCTTTATCAACTCTCAATGCTAGTGCAAACGATTCGAGTACGCGGAACGTCATTCCTGGTCTCCTGAAAACACGCTCGAAACTACATGTAGGAGCTTTTAATGTCCGAACACTGCCAAATAGGGCAACAGGCTTCCTTAGCTAAGACTTAAAAATCTCGCGTCTCCGAAACCCCCATACAGGATCCGAGTAGTGTCATTCATTTGACCTCACCATATCAAAATAAAGAACAATCTCGATTCACGCTTCGTGTATCTGGAGGCTTATGTTGCTTCCCGTGGTCCCGCTGGTGTAGGTATAGTATTAAGTCGTAGGGCAGAACTATCGCTCTTAGACTGAATCCCATGAGACATTCATTTGTGCACTGGCAGACTAAACAGAACAATAAGGACTCGGGAAGATAGGGAAGCCCGTCGTTACCTCTTTGTCGTCCTTACCTACAGCAAGCTTCCCGGTGTTCTCCAAAAAGCTAGGCGTTCTGATGTATTTATAGTGGCTGGTGACTTTAGTGCTCAAGTAGGTGAACTAAGCGAAAGGGAAGGACACCCAGGTGGATCATATGGTGTCGTGGCTCAAAGAATAGGTAATTGAGACCGTCTGTTGCAGATGTGCTCAGATAACCGCCTGTTTGTTGCAAATACTAACTTTAAGCATAAGGAAAAACGTCGTTTGATATGGTGATCCCCGAATTCATCCTAACGTTGGACCCAAATAGATCACATCGCTATCAGCCACTGATGGAAGAGCTCGATAGAAGGCTGTCGCTCGTTCTGAAGCACATGCTTAGATTTAGATCATGCTCTGGTGCGAGCGCGTATCTGTCTGCGTCTTACTGGACGTAGGAAAGACGTTGCAAGGAAACCTCTTAGGGTCTTACTTAATGACAGCCAAGCTAAGAATATATTTCAGGAACGACTAGAAAAAGTTAGGCAGCCATGTATGTGATGCCCGCCCCAAGGCAGAGTGGAGAGCATCAGGCCCTGACAGGTTTACCACTGAGATTTTTAAGGATGGCGGTCCAGTACTAGCAGTGAGATTGACTGAGCTTTTAGGCAGAATCTGGGAACTGGACGTAATCCCATCTGACTGGTTTCAATCACTGAATTTGCCAGTCTATAAGAAAGGACAAAAGTCCTCTTGCGACAATCACAAAGGAATCAGTTTGACTAATATAGTGACTACAATATTAGCTTCAACAATACATCGACGCCCAACTAAAGCTCGTGAAGAACAGACTAGAGAAAACCAGGCTGGTTTTTGACCTGGACATGGTTCAGACGCCCTACAATCGTAGTATTTCTCGACCTTAAGACGGCATTCGACTGTTGATCGTAAGGTTCTATGGCAGTGTTTGTCACTGAAAGGAGTACCAAAGAAGTACATTAACTTTATACAGGCTCTCTACTCGAGCACAACTGACCAAGTGAGAGCTTACGGTGAACTGTCATCAGAATTGATTACCTCAAGTGGTGTTCGTCAGGGCTGCCCACTCTCTCCATTATTGTTTAACTTTGTCATTGACGTGCTTTTAGAGATAATACTTCCCTTATCTAAATTTCCAGGAGTTAAACTTCTAATGGGAGATTCAATTGTTGACTTAGAATATGCCAATGACATAGTTCTATTTGGTGAAGACGCTGACAAAATGCAGAGTCTTCTGACTACTCTAAGCAACAATGCAAGCATGTTCGGGATGCGATTCTCCCCTCGAAATGCAAAATGTTGCTTCAGGATTGGGTTGCATTGACACCCGAACTAATGATAGAGAGTGAAGTAGTTGAGCGTGTCGACCGCTTCAACTATCTTGGGAGTCTCATCAGCACTTGTGGTTTGGTGTGTGACGAAATCGCAGCACGGATACAGAAGGCTTGACTAGCTTTTTCCAACTTTCGTCATTTATGGCGTAGGCGAGATATCCGTCTACCAACCAAAGGACGTGTTTACTGTGCAGCAGTTCGTTCCGTCCTACTTTGTGACTGTGAAACATAGCCGGTAAGAGTAGAGGATATTCGTAGGTTACTAGTATTTGATTATAGGTGTCTTCGGAACATTGCTCGTATATCATGGGACCATCGAGTAAGTAATGCAGTTGTTAGGAAACAGGTACTAGGTAAAGATGACAAATTAATCGACGAAGTAGTGAAACTTCATCAGTTGAGATGGCTAGGACACGAGTTGCGTATGCCCAACCACCGACTACCCCGACATGGGATGTTTTATGGTGTAGGAGCTGGTTAGAAGAAAGCTTGGGGCGGACAGACTAAAACATGGCACAAATCCATGAAGTCACTGACAAGTGAACTGAGCCATGTTGATAGGTGTAGACTACGTGGTTGGCGACCGCGAGATGATAGCAACCGATTGTTAGAGACTCTGAATGATATGACTCAAAATCGTTTGCAATGGTGCAGGTGCATCCACTCTTTGTGTTCTCTCAAATTCTAATCTTCTGAATTCTTCATGTCTCGTTTTTTCTCTTTCCAAATTTATTTCACTGGATTATACTCCTTGAATAACATCTTACAGCCCTAATGTTTCCGATTACTGCTTATACTTTTACTACATCTACCACTATGGGATTTGAATCGACAATTGTATGTGAGTGTTAATGTGGTGTGGCAACTCGAACTGATGTACGTACGTACGAAGTTCTACGTTGTTACCGACTGACTGTAATAGGATAAACAGATCTGTAAATGCAAGTGAGTCTAAGATTAACAATTGTATATACTAAACTTTTGAAATAACACTCATAAATGACTTATTTATTTATTTTAACACATAGATATTGGTACAAGAAGGCACCAAATACATATGCGCCACACAGATCTCATTCGATATGTGTGGGGGCTGTGATACTGCCCGGGTGCCCGAACTGAAGCAGGTGGTTTTCTTAGGGGGCCACACCCCGAGCCTTCGACCTGAGGGTCTGATCCACAAGGCAGTGGAGCATCGTAAGGAGATGCAGTCCCATGGAAGCCGGTGACCAACAATTGGTTCATACGCCATTTGTTCCCGTAGGATACTGGAGCCCATGTGCACCATTAGTTTAGAATCCGGTTAAAGCACCGGACATTCGCTTTTCGTCCTCTCATTTTCGTAAACAACACCGCCGTCACGAGAAGGCAGTGAGTAGGACTTCCCTGGCAGAGGCTATATACGCGTGGCCACGTGAGAGCATTTCGAGAGGGGGAGCGGACTCTCCCCACTCTCGGCCGTACCAGGGCATTTGGGGGCTATAAATGACTAACTTAGATAATGAAAATTTGCTGTTCTAAGCAAGTATTAACGATGTTTGAAACAATTCTGATAAACGGGGACCATCAGATAACGAGAAAGTGTAACAGTAACCCAATGATTCAGGCGTTCAACTTTCAAGCAGCAGGTCGTAATACCTTTTCCCGACTATTGGAGTTTTGGAAACCTGGTAACATAACTAACCCTCATATTTAGAATCTAGCTCATGGCCACGTATACGAATCTGTACCTGATTGATTAGTTAATTGTGTTAATGCTGTACCTTGCATCATATTCACAATAATTCATAAATTACTTTTTTATCATACACTGAAAAAATGGACCGAATTACAACTTATCAAGAAAACAAAACAAATTTATACCTACCTTTACCACTAGTTGACCAATGAGTCATTAGCTGACCTGCACAGTATGCCAAGTTCTCAAAAGTAAGACATGAAAGACACTTCTTAGACGTTTCAAACCTAAGGAAATATATGTACAGAGAGATTATCCATTAGACAAAGTCAGTGAAATACGTCCTAAATAAGCGTGTCGAATCGAAGAAAGAGTGAAGATCAACGAAGGGACAAAATGCTTAGAGTAAGCTGGAAAAACACGTGGATAAACAGTGCTAAAGGTTTAGTTAAGAGTAAAGAATGACTTTTTCTGAGCCACTATAACCGCTTTAAGCAGTATTATTCGAGGTGATCAACCACAAAGTTTTAGAGCCTTCAATATATAAACCATACAATATAAATTCATAAGCACAATCCTAACTCAAATGACTTCGTACTATCTCCTTACTAAGAAGCTTAATAGAAACGAAATACGTGAAAAAGGAAACATCAGACTATAATCTCCAGCAAATGTGTGAACAAGAATGGAACATAATACAAAATAACGAGCGCTTTCTTAAGAATATTACAGGTTTTTTTCTTCTGTAGTGCTGGATAGAACTCACTGACTAATAAATATAATGCTTCACACATTTAAGCAGTAACAGAGACAAGTTTGATGAAATAAGGCAAATACAACCTACTAATAATCCTTAACAGAACAAGAAATGCATATATTACTAGGCATATAACTTTATAACAGTTTTTAGTGCTGTCATAATATGTTGTACTTGCAGTTGAAACACTGTTGCATCATATTTTATATCAAAACCAGTTAAGCTGTCAAACGTTTTTGTGTAAATATACCTGTTACTTGCAATAAATATAACAGCGGCATAACATTCGGCAAGCCATTCTGGTAGAAGAAAACAATTCTTTATATTATCTGTTAGTGGACCAGGTAAATCTTCAGTGCGGCGGGCGACACACGACAAATTATCAAACTGCCTTTTACAACTCCTTAGTTGAAGTTCACATCTTTCTGCAATATCAGATAATTCCCGTCGGGATTTATTTGATAACCTTCTGCCAACAAATTCACGTAAAAAACTCTCATCAAGGGAATAGTATCTGTATATAGTGATAAATTGAAGTAAATGAAAGATGTGAAATGGGTAATTGGTACAAAGTGTCACAATAATACATTGGATGAATGGTCACCAAATTACAACAATACTTAATATAGTATGAAAAAATAGCAGGAAAATTGAACTAAATTACACTGACAGTTGTCAAGATGAATGATATTACGAGGTCCTTAGCCAAAAATAAATGCTAATTGCACATAAGCATACAAGGTGAATTAAGATAATTATATAATGATGGATATCCAGTCAAGTCTGAAAATGAAGGTTACAAAATAGCTAGTCAGTTTGCAACGCTGTCTAAGGAATAGACGTTTTGACATGTGTTGAACAATCTTATAAGAATATATTTGGATTACGTAAGGAAATGATTGCGTGGAATCAAGTACAAAGTAACTCATATCAACTTTTTCTATCCTCATGAAAAGCACCTCAGTCGTACGTTAAATCGTAGCTTTGAACTTCTAGTTACTAAATCACAAGTCCAAAACTTACTGTACTTCAGTTCGCGTAAACAACTATTATCAGCTTTTACACAACAAGTGTGACTCAAAATAGTGCAAAACCTGTACTTGATTAATGAGTTAAATTATTATAATCATTTTAACAGTTGATTATGGTACGAAGATACTAAATAAAACTATTACACTGAAATGTTAAAATATAGATTTATTTGACTCGATTCATAGAATGTAGCATCTAGTGAACTGAATTCAGATTTCAAACTATGATTACCTCATACACTTGGATGAAATTATTGGTCTGGGAGTCGGACTGATAGGACAGTTTCACCGTAGGTAACAAATTTCGACAAATTCTCAACCAGCTAAGATATTTATGGGAATTTAAAGATTGACAAGGAGCAAAACATTTGAGAGCGAATTTGAAAGTACTCAGTGCAATATCCATTTAGTTGTACAAATTCAACGTTAACATGGAACATCACTATTTTAAATGTACAAAATAAATTTGCCTTTCCATCTTACTAAGCACTCCAATTCCAAGACATAAGTTTGATCTCAACAACGGTTTTTGTTCATACCGTAATTATGAGACGGCCCCCAAATGTCCTGTTACGACCGATGGTGGGGAGAGTCAGCTCTTCGTCTCCAAATGCTCTCACTTGACCACGCATATACAGCCACTGTCAGGGAAGTCCTACCCACTGTCTTCATGTAGCGGGGGCGTTGTTTACAAAATTGACAGGACGAAAAGTGAATGTCCGGAGCTTCAACCGGGTTGGTGGATACAGACGATCGATCCACTTAGGGGAGTTGAAAAACCCTGATTTCAAACTAATGATGCACATTGGCTCCAGTATCCTGAGGGAGCGAATGGCGTATGAACCAATTATTGATCACCGGCTACTATGGGAATGCAGCTTCTTATGTTGCTTCGTTGTCTTGTGAATCAGACCTTTAGGTCGGAGTCTATGGCTGTGGTCTCCAAAGAAAACCACGTGCTTCAGTTTGGGCACCCGGGCAATATCACAACCCACACACAAACCAAGTGAATTGTGTGGCGTATATGTATTCAGTGCCCTTTGTACCAATACTTATGTGTTTAAATAAATAATAAATAAAATAATTAGGAGACGTACTGCGTAGATTTTGTGGAAAACATTTGTGTACGAGAATCTCAGTTGTTTTCGAATACGGAGAATGGATAAGTATATTTGACTTATGTAAAAGTATTTATCTAACATTTCTGTGGTAGGTCGCCGAATTATTGGAAGGCAAAATATAATGACCAAATGCCTTGCGAAAGGCAGATGATGATTAGTATTTACTTTACAGTTAATTCATGCCTACTTGCGTCACTGCTGTAAACGCATTGACTAAAGTCCGATATAGTGGACTGACAACCTACAAGATCCCAGTATGAACATACAATGTTAACTTAGCGCGTTTTCTGGTCACTGGGTTTACTTTTGAGTATTTATCCCACATCAGCTTTGATAAAACCAGCACGCAAAGAATGCCTAGATTTTAAGGTGAATAAATCGGCTAATATGTGATTTTCTGTATGGCAACTACTTTAAGAAATCTGAAACACTTTTCCTGAATGGAGCAAGATAGAGGCAAAACAGGTGAATGAAGTCAACACGTACAAGTGAATCAATTGTTTGCGAGTTTCTGGTGTAAGCTGGTGGTATGCACAATCTTGCATGAAAGAATTCGGATGTCGTAAACCTGATTCCAAAAGTGTGAATTGAGCAAAGTGGTCTCTGACATGTGCGGCCAACATATCGTTTGTCATACCATACTCCTCTACTGAAGGCGATTGGGCCATGATTGTGCAAGCCTGAGAAACTAAAAAATTGATGGAACAGTAAACAGGTTTATGGTTAGTTGGAGCGATAAATAAATCGGTCATTTTATATTGAAACTATCCTGGGTAATTAAAATAGAATGCGTTAGATAAAATACCTATCTGAAGAAATGATCGTGGTTTGCCACGACTATTTCCATTGATACCACATAGCAATAACTTCATGCAACAATAGCTGTAATTACTTAAACGTTCCAGTAATACCATCAGTGTAATACGAAAAATAGATGTACAGATTTAATGTTTTATTAGTCAGAAAAACTAATTCGTGTCAACAAGAGAATTCAACAGTGAAAAACCAAGTCAACGGTGCACTTGAAGTTCCTTGAACGGTGACAAAAACAGTAAAAACTTAATTCATTCGAAGTCAGGCTTCATATTACTAAGTGGGATGGAGCTAACAAGTTTCACTGCCTAGAAATGCATGATCGAAACAATTGTTATGATACTGTAAAAGCCAAAATATATGTTTTGTTTTGTAATTCGTGTATGTAGTGCTACAATAATAAAGCCTTGAATGAATTTGACGGTATGATAGACCGTATATGGTCTATTTATTTAAAGAATACAAACTTCAAATTTCAAAAGGCAAACTAGAAAGCTTGCGAACAGAAAATTAGTGTATTACTGTTTCCAATACGATCTAAAATTTAAGACAGAACAATCCCAAGCAAACAAGAAAGGGGAAAATGAAGAACTTGAGGGGAATAAATATCGCATCCCCAAAGAAGTTTGATGAATTCAAGGAACTTTGTGCATTGTTGCACTTAACGACTGTAATTGGGGAGATAGTTAGATGTTTCGCCTAAATGTTCCTCATGAGGCGGTGACAAGAAATTCACAACCAACAATTTATTAGTTCTGTCTGGTAACTACTCCATCAAGTACATGGGAGGTAAGACTATAATTTACTAAAAAAAAACCTTTGAGCTACGTCAAAGTGACTTTTAAAGAGACTTTACCAGTGTACTACGGCTTAAGAAGGGTTGTGGATTAGTGTGAGAAAGCAGAATCGAGATTTAATTAAAAACTGAGGTTGGAGATTATATTAAGGATTTTCATCATGAACTATAGTTCATGTTATTACCCAGACAACCCAAAAAGGGGAAATAATGGGGAAAAAAGGGGAAATAAAGGGGTAAATGCTTTGGTGGCGAAAGGGGAAATAAAGGAGAAAACGCGCCAGAATGTCGCTTTTTTCGCTTGTCCGGGGGAAATAATGCGGAATTTCCCCTTTTCGCCTTTTTGTCGACAAATTACCCACTTATCGACTAAATATCCGCTGAATTGTCGCGTTATAATTGTTATTATATATAATAACAATTATAACGCCAAGATGCAATACAGGCATATGGATCAATGAGTTTTGGGCCAAAAATTCTAAAACCCGCTATCTCCAACCTAATATATATAAGTTTCGCTGATTTACCCAGGACTTTGCCAAACTTAGGTGCATTGAGAATAAATGACGAGAAATCGTAGTTAGAGGAATATAAACGACTTAGCGGTATACTTACTAGTTCGTCCATGTACCCATAAGTAGAACATTTCCATATCAACAAAGCTTGGGCTGGTAACTGTGACGTCAACAAGGCTACAAGAAAACATCACAAGCAGTGAGACTACAACTTGTGGACGACCTTTGAGCGACGCCAGACTGACCTTGAGTGTGTTCACTTAACAACTAGTGCCAAGTGAGGACGAAGGAATGCCTGCCCCTTGGGTTAAATTTATTTAGGCTGCAGATGCATCGGATTTCTCAGGTTCACTCATGTTTGCGTATATTCGGAGACTTAAAAATCCACGCAACTCCACTGTTAACTAGAGTATGATAGAATAATATTGTGGGGGTAAATAAACCCCCAAAATCAATAGCTCTGTAAATCTCCGACATTTGATGCTGACCACATTAGTTCTAATGGACTCACTACGCCGAAGACACTCGGTCACGCATCCGAAGTAGATCAAGAGTGGGAACGCCGAGCTCAACTTCTCCTGCAAGCGCTAGCCAGTTAAGATCAGTCACTTCTTTTTATATTTACAACCCATCTGATAGGTCTTGCTAATTGAACGCTATATTCGGTTCCTAAGCTATTCTCATAACCCTCAAGCTAGAACTATACAGTGACCTGAACACGAGAGAAAAGGTGAAAAACATGAGAGAAGCACTTTACTCCAAAGGTTCGTTTTAATACGGAAAATATAGAGTTTTTATAATACTTTAAATGTCCTTGGGTTTCCGAAAATTCCGGAATGCTACTAAACGTAGTAGCAGTATAGTAATCAGCCAATCAGAAATTCTACATGTGACTTTTCACTTTCTTAATGGTTCTGACTAAACTTCTGGTGATTGGATGAAATACTTCTTAGTAATCCCTGATCCTCGCTTGTCTTTTGTGAGAAGTTTTACGGGTCACCCCAACAACTTCCTTATTTTAAGTCTGTTGTGTAAAACGTTTTCCTCGGATCCACCTGGAACTTGGTTACCGAATTACTGTTGCAGCCCGTCACTCTCGAAGGTTGTGCAGCTTTACCCATTCGTCTCTTATCTCTTTTACATTAGTGCTCTTGAAGGTTTTTTCGAGATGAATCTACAAGCGAATGAAACGAGAGTCGATATTGTGGGACCATTGTTCTGCCGTTTCTTTGAATTTGATTTATGTGTCTTATAGACGTTCCGACATTTCTCCGTACTAGGTATAGTACATTTTCGATCCTATGTTCTATGACACCTGGTTTCCACTTCCTATTACCTTGATACGATTTGACAAGTACCCTTTCACCCACCTGGAAGCTACGAGTTACCGTACGATACTCATTCATGGGCAACATTCTGCTAAAGACTGTCCGGAATTTTTTCCTAAAATACACTCGTCTAGTGACTTTTCTTCCGATATGAACACTCGTTCTGGGATACTCTCTCCTCCCCCTTTGAGCAGAGCTCTTTTGAATATGTCCTTCTGAACTTTCTACATACCGACGTTGTTGCAGATCGAGTTTATGGGGCGGTCTGTAAACTCCCTCCTTTCTATCCAATCAAGCACCAATAAGTCGAGTGATGGACGGTCTATCAGAAATATTACAGCCTTCTTCATGGACACTTTGACTGTGACTCCACAAGGAATTTTACTGGAAGTGTTTAGAATTCCCCCAGATTCACTCTGTGCTGATTGATGAGTTGATTATATTCTCTGTCTCCCAATTTTTCCCAACATTCTCCTGCTTATAATCGTTATATGGAAGGCTGTGTCTAACTGTAAGTGGGCACCATACTCATTAATCTTGTGATAAACATACTTTCTACGGTTATGGAAGCAGGCTATGTGAAGTGCTACCGTTACTTTAGCTGTTTGTGGATTCAATCTTTTAGAATACATTTTCGTTTGAGGGCTTTCCATGTTTTGTAATGACTTTCTTTTTTCTTTTTTCTTGAAAGCGTAGTACGATGATGATTCTTAAACGGACAAAACCTTTTGAAATGCCAACAGTTACATAAACATCATGGGGATGATGATGTGTTGCTGTCATTAAGATAATTCTGAGTGCTGGAAACTCGCGAGACTTTCTTCTCGACTGCATGGACGTGAAAAAATCGGTTTCCGTTCTCTACCATTGAGACATTTTGCTTCAGATTCACTAACCTTTGGCATTCGGTAGCTACTTCCTGTGGCATCATGTTGTGGCAGTGTTCTAGCTTGCTTAGGATTCTCGTTCGGATGTCAGTATCCTCGAGTGAATGCAGGCATTTAAATTGGTCTTCAGTCATGGAAGACAATTTGAACCTCTCATATTCTCGATTCACAATTCCTGCATGTTTCACCCAGTCATCCCCTGGTTCATTCGTTATCTTCAAGCATTGGTAACGGATATTATGTAGAGATGATTGTTCTCCAAAGATTTGAGACAGGTTTTTAATTGTTTCATCAAAACTAAAGTCTTGTGGGCTCTTCGGGAGATTGAAGTTAATGTGGCGTTCATGTTCCATCGTCCCAAGTGTTCTTAAAATTATTTTCACTTTTGAAGCATCATCGAGTCTGCAGAGATCAATATAGAACAAATCTCCATACTTCTTAAAGCAAGAATCAAAAGTAACATCTGATGGACATCAAATCTAAATTATAGGATGACGCCTAAACCTTATAAAACATATCTTCAAAACTCCTCGATTTTGGCTTTTGATTTCACTGGATGGGCACGATTCAATTATAGATTTAGGTGTTATCAAACTACGAATACATGTGGCTTCTCCAATGATGATGAGGATTACATATGAGGGCTTGTCTCGTGACAAAGTTTAGAACTTTCCTCAATGTGTGTCCTGTCCACTTCCAGCGCTTCTTCCTGATGTCTTTCTCCGCTGGAATCTGATTTGTTCTCTCCCTAAGTAGGTTGTTGCTGATAGCGTCTGGCCAACGGATCCGAATTATTTTGCGTAGACAACTGTTAGTGAACACTTGTATCTTCTGGATGATGGCTTTCGTTGTTCTCCAAATTTCCGCCCCATACAGTAGAATCGACTTGACATTTGTATTGAAAATCCTGACCTTGGTGTTAGTTGACAGTTGTTTTGAGTTCCAGATGTTCTTCAATTGTAGATTTGCTGCTTTTGCATTGTCGATCTGTGTTAGTTGACTGGCATTGAAATAAGAGTGTTGTCTAATGTTTTCACACTTGTTGAGATCGCCTTCCTTTGGTAACATGATCAGGTTTCCTTGTTTCCAGTCTATTGGTTCGTGTTTTTAATCCGAAATCTTGCCGAATAAAATGTGGAGTATCTTTGCAGTTACTGCTAGGTTTGAGATCAATGTCTCCTATGCTTCGCTGCTCTTGATTCGTCTGATGGCCCTGTTAGTCTCTCTAATTGTTGGTGGGCAAACATAGGTTTGTAGATTCCTCATCATTATCATAGTCGTTGACGAAATTTTGAGATGAATACTGATGAAGCACAGATTGTGATAGAAACTTTAATCACCATAATATAATATTTAACTCAACGTCTTACTCATCAGTGTAGATCATCAGCGTCGGTTTTCTGTATCGATGATTGTGACCCCACTCTAATTCGATGGGAATGGTATGATCAATCAACTAACGTCAAAGTCACAGTTCTGTTTGTGCCTAACGTAACTAACTCTTTCGTAGTATCTAAATAACATGTCTACTTCGGTGAATCCACTGCTGGATTATTTTTGCTAGTGTATAGTAACAATTCATTGGCAGTAAACGTTGTCCGTTCGTTTTTCCTCAAATATGAGGAAACAGTTTTATCGGTAAACAATTTTAAAATATGCTTCGAACGCATAGAAATCAAATCACATTTCTTGAGGTTGTCCTTTTTGTGAAAACGCAGAACTGAAATGGTAAGCGTGCATATTATGCCTAAGCTTCAACTTCCAATAAAGTCTGACCGCGTATTTTGATAATCTTCGTTCGACCTTCAAAAGCATTGGCTATTTACGTCCGTTTGATGTCTTTGGAATTAAGTTTGTTGTGTTATTCATGCTTTTTTAAACATGACATTTTTTCTTCACCTCACTCATCCTAATGTACGGATGATGTATATATATGCATATATATGAGAGAGGATCATTGAATTAGTTAGGTTCACGAATCGATTCGTGATCATTTTGAACATATATACATTAATTACCTGTAAATATTTTATGCTTGATCAATAACAGTCTTGATAATTGTGGGTTTATTCATCATACTCGGGGCAGATTTTGGTTTTTCTATTCATTGTTTTTGTTTACAACTATATAGCTATAGCTATGTGAAGGTCATTTGACTTCGGGAGTTCCCCCAAAATACTCCAAAATTTCCTCAAACTTGGAAGCTCGGGTACGTATTTTTAAGCCTAGGCTCCTAGCGTTGGGAGACTTACCACTTTTTGAGTAAAGCTTATGACAGATTGCGTCACATAACCCGAAATGTACTTACGTGTGATTCCTTTTCAGAATTTTCTAAGCATTCTCATTTTGGCTTGTGTTGCACACACATTATTTATACTTTTTTAGTTAATGAGTTGCGTAAAAACGTAGGGTTTTTAAGTTAGTCAGCTTGTTTAGGGGACTGGAATATTATTGGGGTTTATATTCGTGTGGTTTCTTGAGTTCTTAACGGGCGTAAGTACTCCGTTTCCCGTACTATTATTCATCTTAATCTGTACGCCTTTTTCAAAGAACCGTTAAACATCTGGACAAGTGTTGACTACTCATTTATGCTTGGGCTTGTGTTGGAGTTCCACACACTTGTGGTCTTCTAACCATTGCTTGGGTTCTAGGAACTGTCCAACCGGTTAGCACAAAATCATAAAGTTTCAACTAGTGACTTTAAGGGCGAGACTATAATTTATGGGTGCAAATTTCATTCACTCATTCAGCTTAATACCATTTTGTCATTATAGCTGATGTCAGCTCGTGATGAAAACAATAAATCTTATTCCCAACCTCAACTTTCAACAGGTAATCTTATTCTTAAGTCCTCATGCTAATCTATAACCCTTACCTAGCCATAGTCAATAGATGAACGCTTTGAAGTCATTTCAGCACTGCACAAAGGTCGTCCATAAATTATAGCCCCACCACCAGTCACCGTGTAAGTGTTTTAAACCGTAACAAAAAATTCATCTGTGTAATTTATTTCTTAGGGTTCTAAAAAAGTTCAGAGGGAATTTTATCATAATGTGTTCCATTTTAACCATGATAATCTACATCCCGTTAATTCATCAATTTTACTTTAAAAAGCGCCTAAAAATTCATTATCTAGGACTGATATATGTTTGCATATAAATGCACTTTAACTCTTGTAGCAAAAATACAGAGTGTAGGATTTAGTTTTAGAGAACGTCTTATTGAAATAATTGACTGATTGTTCTTAAAACAAGAAAGTATATATTCTGGAAGACTTCCTTCAGCTAAGCTTATTATATAATTTTTCTCTTTTCTCAGGTGATTATAAGATCGAAACAAGAACTTCCAATTTCCAGCTTATAAGGTCCATTTCTTATTCTTCAGTCGCATATTTCAAGTGTACTTTGTTCATTATTTACGCTTATAAAGGCCTGAAGACCTTAGAATATGGCTAAAACATGAGGTATATGTGGTTATAAATTTTATCATATATATATATATATATATATATATATATATATATATATATATATATATATATATATATATATATATATATATACCTTTTCATTCGACCTTGACCGCTATGCATCAACTACTTTGTAACTTAGTATCTATGTGCTGTATTCACTCAGCGATATTTTGCGTAGAAAAGGATTAATATGATGTAAAGTGGACATCAGTCTGCTTGTCTGGATGGCTAATAGTTTTGTCTTGTTGCATCAAATTGTTCTAGTAGAGCGACGTTCAAAATTGTGACTGAGCTACAGATGACGTTGCGAAATGTCCACCAACCACATTTTGCGTTATATGTTTTACCTCATAATACTTACCATATAATTTTAATGGAAAGCTTACTTCAACTGCGGAATTCTTGCCAAGTATTTTTGTGAAGATATTTGAATAAGGTTTTATGCTCGTGACTGAATTGTTAAGAAGAGGGAAAACAGCCACCAGCAGTAATAGCAGGCATTAGAGTCCACTTGATGTTTTATGACTAGTAATAGACATATTATATAAAGTCCATACGGTTTTAGTATTATGGAATGAGAAGATTAGGTAATTGACGTTGAGCACCTATAAAATATTGTTTAGCTACATCAAAATGTATGGTGTTTTGAATATCAGAAAGCTTAAAAATATCAGGAAACAGTAAAATGGAAACATAAGATAGTCTTCAACAATTAAGCTTTTTGTTTATCTTAGCACTGTGGAAAACTATTTTATCCAGTCAGGTTGCTTATAATGGTTATGACTGCTGATTAAGATTGTTTAAGACTACATTCATGTCATATATGTTTATCAGTCATACACAATATGCGTTTTGTATAGCCGTTTAGCCTTTAATTAACTGTCTTTTTATATGTTTCATCCTAAAAGAGTTTTGATAACTGAAATTATTGGTCTCTACTCTAAGTACCTTGTTGCTCGTACTAAACATAAATAATTTCCAAACTTTCTGAAGTATCTTGCTTGTTTGATTCTGAAAAATAGTTTGGGAATCTAAAGTTCATTTTAGCGTGTTCTGTGTTTTTCATGGTTTCATCACTTAATTATCGTATGATATCTTGATAGGGTTTGTAACTTTGGTATCTCAAGTCAAAAATAAAATTTAGTAGTCTAGATAGTTTAAACACTCGTATTTGCTTGATCGCTCTATCCCTTAAAGACGCTCGAGACACCTAAAGTAAAATTAAAATAAACATTAAACTCATTCTTTAATCATTTAAGTGATGATTTATTTGAAGATCTCTAAATAGGATTGTTGTTTGCGATATGAAGTGACATTATTTTTAATATAATTTCTGGTTTGAATTGTCTATTTTAAACTTGTTATGTCTCACAGTAATTGCTTAAAAAACGGCTTTTCACCTTTGCGACTACATGTTGACGGCTGTGGGCTTCTATTTTATGGCTCATAATATTCTGATTTCTCTGTTATTATTATGTATAAACCCATGTAATCTTATTACTTATCTATTGTATTCATAATTCTTATTTCGTATTTTGTTAGAGTCAATTCAAAGGAACTTGGGTGTGTATCTCCTTCTTGGAATTCGTCTTTTGAAGGCATCCTCTATTGGAAACAAAAAGTAGATTCGCGATTAAAGCGTGGCTGTAGTTAGTTTTGATTGGCTATAAATTACATTCCAGTTTTTTCTGAACACTGGTGCCGGTTGAAAGGAAACATTTTGATTCTTTGCCGTTCTCCCGATAGAACGAGCAATGAAATTTCAGGTGTGGTGCTGTTAGAGCGTTTCACCGTGTCGCGTACTAGAGATGAAGAAATATCCTACTCATTTCGTTTAGGTAACTTTATGGTTCAGAGTTAAACGGCTTGCGCAGATTTCGATTCCGGTGATAAACCTCTTGTATTTGTCGCTCGTTCTGAAGATGAGGCAGAGAAGTGGTGTCATCACCTTAACAAAGCACAACTGGCACCTAGGTTACGGCGTTTTACTTTGCTTCGTGATGAAATACGGAGAATTACAGGATCTGATCCACTAGAATCTGGATTTTCTAGTAATTCAGTTACCCCACCAACTATCGTTGAGGAAGGTAATTGTGTATATTTTATGAGGCGATGTTATTGTGTGGATCGATGAACTAATTTTTGTTTATTTTCATTTCAGGTTCATTGAATGACGAGGGACTTGAAGTTATGCTGAGTAAGTCTACTGATCTATTGTCATAATTAACGAAGTGCATTCAAAGATGCATTTAACTTCGTGATTAGTTTTTGTTAGCGGTCTTGAAACCAGGGATCCCAATCGATACTATATTGTTCTTCTTTAGATTGTCTACATATATTCAGTAAAATTAGGTAATAATTATTGAGATGCATAGAATTTTTGTACATTTTAAAATTTTTAAAAAGCGTGTTTTGTATCACTTCACCACTTTTAAGACGTTCTATTTAACTGGCTAAACAATATATATTGTCTTTGTAGCTATCAACTGACGTTATCTAGATATTATTCAGGTTGTTTGTAAATTCTCGGTGTTTTGAACGTTTTGGTGCAACTGAAGACTGATTGCCACAGAAATTTATCTACTGTTAGTATGTCCAAATATGTAGACTCAATCGTTCTATTTAATTCATCATTCCATCAAATTCAGTTATTGATTGACGTAGTAATTGATCTTTCATTTGTTACCGCATTAGGATTAAATGTATAGATAGAGATGTGGAGAAAAATTGATTTTGTGCTACAATACGATTCTCTTAATGGATCACTATTCAGTTTTTGGTCCATCATGATAGTTAACTTCCAATAACTTAATTTGGGAAAATCTTAGCTACAACCCATGCAATAACAACATTAAGGCAAATAATCCAAACTGCTTTAAATACAAACTGTACCATAGTTCTAACTTTTATGGACTTAACTAAAGCTTTCGACACCATACCTAAATGATGAATCTTAGACACATTAGCTAAAACATGCCCATCTAACAATATAAACTCCTGTATAGCTAAACTACTAGATAACCCTAAGGGACACATAATTAAGTTTGTCAATATATAGGGGAGTCAGGCAATGCAGTAAAAAAGGTCCCACTATCTTCAACTTAGTCTTTTAAAATATGTTAGAACAAACTATAGATAAAATTTCAAAAGGTCTAACTCTAGAAGATCAGCATAATAGGACCTAGATAATTAAACACTTAAAATATGCTGATGACTTGTGTCTAATCACTAATACTACGGAAGAGGGTACTATTTTTATTTATTTTATTTGAACACATAAATATTGGTACAAGAGAGCGCCAATATATATGCGCCACACAAAACAATGAAAATTCGAAGAGAGATAGAAAAAAAAACTAAGGAGCGCAAAAGAAAAAGAGAACGATAACGAAGAGATTGGTGTAAGGTAGTGTGGTAGTAACGAGGGAACGGAAAGGTATAATCAGAAGAAATCTTTCAAGTAAGGGAGACACAACCATTTTTTATGAAGTAAAAGAAGGTTACAGCAGGATCGCCACTGGCTTCTATTCTGAGCCATATCTGATAACTTCTCTAGCCACTGTGTAGCACCATCTCTCAGACCCCAACCAGGGAGTCGTGAAGGACCAACAGAAGCCGGTCCATTGCAGCTTTCTTTCATACCACGACACCATGTCATGCACTGACCACCTCTCCGCTTTTTCCAACCAGTCCCAAAGTCGGCAAATAATGCACGACGTGGAATTCTCTGCGACGACATTCGTAGAACATAACCAAGCCACCGAAGTCGGTGTTTCAAGATGGTGACACCAATTGAGTTATCATCTCTGTGCCCAAACACACGATGGCGAACCTCTGCATTACTGACATGGTGTTGCCACTGAATGTCAGCAATCCTTCGGAGACAACGATGATCGAACACAGAGAGTCGTCTAACGTCCTCAACTCGGAGAGGCCAGGTTTCACAAGCATAGAGCAAAACTGCTCTTACCGACGCGTTGTAGATCCGACCTTTTACAGCCAGACTAACATCACGAAGGCGCCAAAGGTGGCCCAGATTGGCATAAGCCGCTCTGGCTTTCACTATACGTGCATTGATCTCATCACTCACGCCACCACCAGCACTTATGCAGCTACCCAGATACACGAACTTCTCGACTACGTCTATCTGCTCACCATCCAGAGTGAGTACAGGATTAGAATCCTGCCAGTCTTGTAGAAGTACTTTGCACTTCGAAGGTGCAAAGCACATACCATACCTACGGACACTGATTGCCAACTGATTAAGTGCGGATTGCATGGCTTGGGCATTATCGCACAGTAAGACAATATCGTCCGCATACTCAAGGTCGAGAAGTCTTTCTCCAGACAACAGATCCACACCACCATTACTTACATTCATCAGAGCTGTTTCCAGAATGTCATCGATGGCAAAGTTGAAGAGGAATGGTGAGATTGGGCAACCCTGCCTAACCCCACTACTCGAATAGAACAATGGAGAGAGGTGGTTGTATGAGGAGAGAGGTGGTTGTATGACTTGTGTCTAATCACTAATACTGCGGAAGAGGGTACTAAAGCATTAAACAACCTACAACAGCACCTAACTAGCATTGATACGAAGATATCGATCTCCGAAACGAAAGTTATGATAATAAATAAGAAGGTCAGCTTATCAACTGTCAATATGGACAAAAAAGAGATATAGAAAGTAGAAACCTTCCATTACTTTGGCTCCACTATAATTAACAAAGGAACCCCAGATAATGCTATAACCTATAATGTAGAAAAAGCTAAAACTGAGATGTTTAAGACTAGACCAGTACTTAAATCTAAAGAACTTAGTCTTAATACTAAAGTCAAACTGGTGGATTCTCTAATAATACCCATTCTTACTTAAGGACTAGAGTCCATAGCACTAAGAAAACGAGACTGGACTAGATTAGAAACAGTTCTCTACACAGTAAGATGAATGATCTTGAGTATATTCGATAGAAAACAATTTACTATCAAACAACTTAAACTTAAAATAAACTTGCCTAACAGCCAATAAAATCATTCAAAAGATACTAAATTTGTGGTATACTGCACACAAAAGACCAAATAATCTAATGATGACGTCTTCAAATTGCAACTTTAAAAATCCATGCAAAAATAGAAAAGCCCATACTAAAGATTGGTTAAGACAACTACATCAAGGCATTGAGGAAATGGGCAAACGACTACCTAAAAACTAGATAAACCAGCCCAGCAAGGTTAAAATTTATGGATACCAGGAATATTTTTCCAAGATAATAGGAAAATACCAACTTAATCACATGTATCGAAATGAAATTCGCAATAGAAAGTTTGCTACAATTAAAGAAATGAATAGGCATTACAGAACCGATCATCAAAATAGACCTAATGTTGAAGCCCTTTACAACTGTCCTCTAACTGACTATAACAAGACTTATAAGACATTGGGCTGGCTTAATAGACATATCCTATTTTGTCATCCCGAGTACAATAAACCTATAATGGAAATTAAAACTCCAATAAATAAAAAAAAACTCCTTAAGTAACCTAAATAAATATCCATATCCAGGCTGTAAATAGACCCTAACAACTGAGAAAGGAATAATCAATCATTGCTATGTAGTACATAGGTGGTCAGCAATCACCGGACAGGAAGTAAAACCAAGGGCGAACAACCGCAAAAACAACTATTGAGCCCCGGAAGTTGTGCTGTGCTTCGATGTAGCCTCTCCTCCAGTACGAGAGGAACCGCAGGTTCAGATAATTCGTATATTGGCCAGGTCGATAGAACAATGGTGTGAAGCTACCGCCATAGTATATATATACTGATATTTCCATGAAAAAGCTTGGGCCAGATTGTTATAGGGACTCATTTAAGAAAAATACAACCAGAAAGGGTTCTTGGAGTTAAAGAATTTACACTTACTTTTATGGAGAAAGTAAAAGAAAGGTACAGAATGGTCGCCACTGACTTCTATTCCGAGACTTACTTGAATGCATGGATTTGTTGAAAATATTTCGATCAATTTTTAAAGTAACAGATATTTATGTACTCTAGCTCTCATATTCTACAGTAGTTTGGAAAACTTAAAGTTTGTTGATTTCTCATTATGGAAGAAAGTGTTCATATTCCATATCTAATCTTGCTTTGTTACTGGTCTTCATTGTTTTTACTAAAAAGTACCTTGTGATTATGTTCAATTTTAGAATGCCTGAATATTGGAGATATGGCGCATCCTAATGAGCTTCCTAATGCTTGTCTATTTGTTTCTGTATCAACTTCACTGAAGAATAATTGGACTCCAGTTGGGGCAACTGAGATAATTGAAGTAATTTGTTCGATTAGTAACTTCCTATTACGTTTTGTCTTAATTTTTTTACTTTACGTGTAAGTGAAAAAAACAAGTACGAATCTTGTTTGTTGATCAAAATGAATTTTATGAAAATAGCTGTAAAATGATCAAAAAGTGAATTATTTTAGTACTCATAAACCAGTTTGTTAAGATAATTCGTTTTTGATTGCCATCTGAGTGCTTTTATTTTATCTTCGAGTTTGATCAGACTTTCCGTCAGATCATTACATACATTGCGTATAGACCATTAGTATCGTATTTCATCTTCGTTAGCAGTGTCACATCCGTGCTATAAACTAGTAAACCATTGTGATGATTGATCAGTGAGTTTGTGTGCTAAGGTAACTGGCTAAATAATTCTTCGCCAAAGATCTGAATAACTCTCCATGATATATGCAAAAGTAGTGTATAAGCTTTTGCCTAAATAAAGAAAGCTTAAATAAAGTATACTGGGCAGGTAATCAAAAGTGAAAATGGGAATCATCTAACAGGCAATGAAATTAAGAATATTAAATGTAGTGTTTACCATCCAAAGGGAACCTACATCACATATTTTTATTGAAACTTGACAATTTTTGAGTCTTTAATAGTATGCCAATGAACTTAAATACATGGCAATCTAATTAAAAGTTATTAAACGTTTTGAAATGCTGGTAATCTATCCAATATTCCTGTTCCAAATGACTGTGATTTGCGTGATATTATACTTAACATCAAATTGATAGATTCCCAACAAAAAATATTAGACTTATCAGACAAAAATTGTCTTATTTTTATTCTGTATTTTTCATATAATCTTCAGTGTATTTTATGTGATTTCGTCAGTCGTACATCTAGCTTGGTATTAAAGTTTAAGGATAATTTAGTACTAAAAATCATATATTGGTGTAATAAGCTTGTATGTTCTCATCAAATATTTCATCAATGACGTCTAGTTTATACAAGTCACTATCCTGGTAATGAACCGCGATAAATTGATGGAATATGTCAATTTATTTCCCCATTTCCTTATTTTTCTTTATTTTTTTCGAATCTTCTAAAAATTAGAACAACTTAAACTCAAACACTTGTCAATCTAGAGGTTACAGAAGGATCAAGCAGGCAATTTGTGTCACATTTATGTTGTAATAAAATTTTAAAAGGTGGCAACTGTGTATTTCTTAAGAATTCCTATAGATTCTGTAAGTGATATCTCGTTAGGTTGATTAGTTCACTAATGATATTTAAAGAGTATTGTTTTAAATGCAGAAAAAACAAATGTGATAGAAATATATGTATTGGTAAATATCTTCACTTCAAATTAATAATTCATATTATTAAGACTATGTCAATATTAGAATATCGATTTTGGCCATGTGTTTAATGGAACCTAGTTAATTATTTCTCTTATCGTCACGCTGAAATAATTAGAAAACTGGAATTTAACAACCCCTTTCTCGTACTGATGTTTCAGCTATTGGTTTAAATATAAAATCGCCATATATATCTGTGTTTACTTACTCTCTGTTTCGCACTTTTTTTGATTTTGCATGGAAATTTCTTATGGAATAGGTTGAATGTTCCTAGTTTGATAGAACTCTTCAAAGTAAAATAATCGCAATAGTGTCCAACAAATGTTTACTTGTAACAAGGTCATTAATTGACGTTAGTGAATTAAGTAAGAAATGGTCACATGAGAGAGATTTTCGACAAATAATTTTCCCTACTGACAACTTTTCGCTTTAAAAAATTGTGATGTAATTTGTCTTGTTATTTCCCAATTTATTGATCTTTTTATTAGATAATTGTTTTAAATATCCATGAGTACCTAACCATTTCGGTATCTGGATTTTTGACTTTTTTAATTGATCTCTGTTTCTTGATCCGGTTAAGTTTGTTTTTTGTCTATACTTACTCATACACGAGTTGATATCACATACTTTAGTAGATAATGGCTGGATATATTTTAGTTAATACAGTTAGTACAAATTCGTAACATTTATTTCAGTAGGATAGATTTCTCTTAATATCAGCATTTCCCAGCCGTCGGTTCTATTGTTTTAGATAATATGTAAGAGCTTAATAAGTTTTTACTTTTCAAAATGATTTTCTTTAGAAGTATCTAAATTTAATGCATTAACCTTACCATACTGTACCAAACCAATCATTCATTTACCTATACAAAACACTGTTAGTTATACAGACAAAAATTTCCATGGTGACATAGGTTAATGGTACCACATTATCGTTTAATGTAAATGCTTCATTTTAGTCACAAGACCGTTTTTTTAAAATAATTATTATTGTGTTGTTGTTATCATTGCATATTTAGTGCTCTCGGAACCCAATTTTTTCGAAAACAATATTTCTGCGCCACGATTTAATTGATGAGAACAATTCAATACGATTCAGTTTATTTGATATTAAAGATGTAAAATCAAATGTAGTAAGTTAATCTTTTCATTTTATGCAAAAATTTACCACAGAATTTTAATTGGGATCATGAACTGATTAATGTTAGACCATCATTGAAAGTCAGTGCTTCCAGGATTTCAATGGTGGTCTAACATTTATCGGTTGATGATCTCAATTAAGAACTCAACACTCTCTACAATCTTATACTGATTACTACAAATTTGTTGGGAATGTTCAAATTGAATACTTGTAAACATGTTATTGTGATTTTATTTTTTTAATTTCACTTATCTAACCATTGTCAATAGTATAAATTATTTCATATTGTCTACATTTTATCGTCTTCATTGTGAAAAGTTTATGTTACATACCAAACAACTAACTTTATAGATGAGTGACATTCATAATACGTAAAGGAAATATGAAAGACTGAACACAACACTTTACTGTGATAAATGCGAATTGACTTCATTATGTAATATGTTACTAGGCATACAATTATAGTCTTTCCAGTGAAATTCAGTTTTAAATTTTGATATAACTACTTAAATGTTATTCTACTTTGAGTTGTATTAATCTATTTTTTCTAATTAGACTAGTTGTTTATTATTTGGATTTAATCACTAAACAGATATTTACTTTTTTTCTTCGAATTTTTGGATTTTATTTAGAGCGCTTTAATCGGTGAAACAATTACAACAATAAAAATATTATTGGATAGTTCATCTCTTCTGTTACCATTACGTGATGATTGTTCTCCAATACCTATGAAGTATGAGGGTTTAGAGACGACTTTTCCATCAATAGTTGTACAATCAAGGAAACAGAAGCCATTAGATCCCACGGCAGCTAAGGTAATTTATAGTATTATCTCTTTTCATGCACTGTTTTTTTACTCTTGTCTACTCAAGTACTCTGAAAATAATAAAGTGATTTTCGATTTTTTTTGTGTATGAACTGTTAAGACGGTCATACACTCGAATGAGTTACAATCGAGTGTATTTATTTACTGATTTATATACTAAACATATTGTATTGAATAATGAGTTGTGATTATATAGTCTCTATCCCAATGTTAAAATGAAGAATATTTCGAATTTTGTGTTGAGAAATTAAAAATTAATTCATTGAATGTTTTTAAACTTGTTCTAGGTGGTTTTTGAGCAAAGATGGATAGTGGATAGCAGTGGAATCCAGGACGCGCGTTCCGTCCTATTTGGGACTCGTCAGATGAATGTATCTGCATCCTAGAGTTGATGTTCACTCCGGAACTCGAACCCGGTACCTTTCGCTTCAAACGCTACCGCGTTATCCACTTAGCTACTGAGTCCTGGTAGTCACCTGCTTGTGCAATAAGGTGAATTTTAGATTCACTTGGTGTTGTTTTACTGCTGTTTTCACTGCTAATCACTATCCATCTTTGCTTAAAACACTTGTGACTTAAGGCCATATCGAGGCAATCCACACAGGATGCATATACGCCAACATGAGACTGATCAATTGCAGTCCCAAATAACAATGGGAAGATACAAGTAAAACAACAAGTGAAATTGTTTTAGGTAGTTTCTTTATTTTATTTGCACAAATGTTCTCTTTTTCAATTCATTTATTCTATATGTGCTACTACTTAACATAATGAAATGCTTTTTCTGTGTTTAGTAAGTTTCCAAAATAATTTGATAGTATTTTGATACTTTTAAGTATCTATTGTTATTTCCTTCTCAAGCAAAATAGATACGTGTTGGTAGATAAAATTTTATTCAGATCGTCCTTTTTTTCAATATAAAAGTACAATCATCACACAAATGTTATTTACTATCAGTATATCTAATGTAGACGTCAAAATTTCGGAATATATCAGTTGTTAGCACTTGATAGTAATATGGAATTCTCACGTTCATTATTTATAATAATAGTTAGTTAATATTTTATAAATCGATTTGTCAATCACATGTTCTACGCAACTTTTAAGTCTTAAAGCAATTGGTTTCTTTTATAAATTTCGATAGAACAATGAGAAGACTGAGTTGATCTGAAAAATGTGATGTATTTTCGCTATACACTTCGAACAATCTGGTCATACATATATTTGTCAGGGCATTTTATATGAAAATTAATAAAGGTCAATTAAATGAAAGTTCAAGTAAAAAAAGGTAACAAAGGGGAGAGAAACAATTTTACATCGTATAGATAGAATAAGAAATTGTCGCGTAATCCTAAGCCATAGAAAGTCTTAGTCGATTAATTATTTGTCAATCTGAAGGGGTTTTTTGGAGATTTTAAAAATTACAATAGCTGAAATCATGAGTCAATTGAAGCTCGACCACCATGGAAAACCTGGAAACACTAGACAGCTGTTTCGTCCCAGTGTGCACCTCCACGATTCCACCCCCCTGGAGATTCGAACCCTAAACCTATCAGTCTCACATGCGAGCGCTTAATCATTAGACCAGTAAACCGGCACCCAACGGTCTTAATGTCTAACTTCAACGAATCCACGGAATTACGCCACCGTACGCCATTGTCTTCAATGAGTGGGCGCTCGTGCGCGAGATTGATAGGTTTTGGGTTCGAATCTCGCGGGGGCTGGGATTGTGGATGCGCGCTGCTGAGGAGTCCCATACTAGAACGAAGCGGCCGTCTAGTGTTTCCAGGTTTTCCATGGTGGTCTAGCTTCAATTGACTCATGATTTCAACTATTGTATTTGTCAATCTATTAAAATTTGAAGTGTCAAACTAACGAAAATTATACCTTAATGATTCTTAACTAATGTTCTTATATAGACAATATTTTTTCATTATTAACATTGATAATCAATTATTCATTGTAAATTATATGTTTTGTATTTCATTTAGTGTTTACACTATATTGTTTCCTTTCATGTATCTCTACAAAAACAATTATTTTGTTAATTAAAATCAATTGCTGTCTAGTCAAATTAAAGAATAACAATTATAATCCTATACTATGGTTGATGTTCATCTTTTTCTGTGTACGAATAGGTAGCATTACTTAGGTGCCCATATACAGCATGGTTTTAAATATGCAACTTAATAGTAAAAAAAAACAAGTGTTTTATTCATTGAGCCTCTATTTTCGGTGATTGGTTTATTATCGTTGTTTGTAACAGATCTGAATGCCAATCCATCTATTAACATAAGCAAATAAGAAACAAATTGGTTTGTGGTGTTGGAATGTCTAGCATATATATATATATATATATATATATATATATATATATATATATATATATATATATATATATTATCTGTCGATTTCATACCATATGCAATATACCATCACATATTTCATGGATCTCAATTAAAAATTTTCCCATTGATTCATAACTGTAATCAATTACTTTGGTCTTTTGTTGATGGTGTCGTTTGCTTGACAGAACGTTTTTTTTACAGTTTATTAAACGGATATGTACATGGTCACTATATTATATTACTGTCATGAATATTCTGAATTTTGTATTGTGAGTTAATCGTATTTTTGATTATTTTTCTAGGTTGATGCTAATATGTTGTCATTACGTTCAGTATGTGATAATCTATTGTCTAAACGATATAAATTCCAAGATTCAATGGGTGAGACAATGCATATTATTGAATTTATGGGCGAATCAAAGCTATGCTATGCTTTCCCGATAGAATATCTGTAAGTTTAAATTACTAGTATCGTTTGTTGCTTATGTTTCACTCAACATTGTCAATTTGTTATAGTCAAAATATGTAATGTAGAGGTCAGTTAGTTGACCCTTTTTCTTAATGATTTGCTTTTATTGATTAGACAATGCATAAATAGTTATAGATGGTCGTTTTGAAAATATGCTACTATTAATGATCAGAGAGATTTAATTTTATCATTGTTTCCATTAAGTTACGGAATCAAGACTTATAGTATTGTTTTTTTTGGAAATATAACCTAATATTTATGACCAAGACAGGTTACTACAAATGTTTATCACTTATGTCATTAATTATAATCTATAGCTTTGATAATTTAACTTCAGTTTATTTCGGAGGGATAAGGTCTGATACTGGAGTTAAAAATGTATATACATAAATAATGATGTAATACGCTTTCTATATATAGCTACTAATAAAGTGGATTCTCCCCAAAAGGCAACTTAAATTTCTAAGTTTAAAACTACTATTTTATCCACTTGCATTTTTACGTAGAAAATTAAAATTTGACGAAATGAAATAGTTTAATGTATCTCATGTCTTCATAGTTTGCAGTTAGTTCTTTTATGAAGAAGGTCCGTTTATTCTAAGTATTGTAGGAAGCCGAGATCTTTGACTTGATCAAAACTATCTATGTAATTTTCGATATATTATTTAGATAAAATCAATTGATAGCTATTACTGGATAGTCGAGCAACATTTTCAACGTTATTAGCAAGCTAAGCTTGGTTATAAACTTTGTAGAACTAAAGTATTAATCAACTATTTTCCTATAGGCAGAATACGTACATGTACATAACTGTAACTAATCTAGCAGTGAATAGTATTGTGATGATTATGTTGTAACTATATTATAAAACCGAGCCAATCAAGATGAAGATATCGATTCAAAACGCAATGTCAGCTAATATTCTTTCATAATGTAAGCCCGTGTTACATTATCATGTTGTGCACAAATGTTTAAAAGTAATCTTGTCATATATTGCAATTTCTATTCGTGAGTTTGCTCTGATTTAGATAAGACTTTGGTAACCCACCATTCTGTACAAGTGTTATAGCATAGGTTATGCACAAAGATAATTTCAATATGAATGTCTGTGCTTTTCTAGAACTTAGTGTAGAAATCAAAGGTATTTAGAATATATTTACATTAGTATTCTTTTTGATATTTTTTTGTAGAAAAACTTTAATTCAATCAGAATATTTGATATATGACTCTTTATCTCGAACTGGATCTGTAAGTTTCGTTTTAAATTTGGGGTTTAAAATATGTGCGTCATTAGTTTCTATATATTATTCTTTAATTTTGGTAAAGCAAGGAAAACACTTACATTCAAGATGTATGATAAGCTTTGATGGCAGAAAATAATATAGTTCGTGGCAGACAAATATCGTGTAATTTTTTTGTTTATAAATCTAGGCAGTATTTTACCATCTTTTTATTCGTCTATATCACGGTTATATCACATTTTGATATGTATCAATCTACTTTGAACTTCGTATGTATTTTTCGTAATGTGAATTTGTAAGTCATGTAATCATTATTATAAGGTCAGATATTATTGTTGTGTCTTATAGATGACTAACCAAAATAATGTGCTAAATCATCAATCAGATTCCCGATTTTAATTTGGTCGATTTCGTGCGTACCATTACTCAATGGCTTGGTGTCTCTGTCGTGGCCAATTACTCGTCCGACCAGCACTAATAATCTGAGTCAACAACTAGGCTCCTATGGGCTTACTATCTGCAAGTTCTTTATCATGGCCTGTCTTTGGGTCCAGAAGTCAACAGTCAACCTGTTCTATACTAGATTTATATTTTAAAAACACGTATTTTACCTACAAACATACCGGATTGAATCATACTATAAAATAGAAAAATAACGGTTATACATAAATAAGCAAAAAGTGGTTATGCGTAGGAGAGACTGCAAATAATAGACTGGCAACAAATAAGGAATATTAGGTTGTACAACAGTACTTTGTAGGTTAGCCAAATGCTTATGATAAAAGGAATATATATATGCATAGTAATTTAGTAACTTATTATACAGCAAAATTATGATTAATAATTCGGAAAATCATTTCCAACTTTTATAATATCTGTTCGGACCATAAGTCACATCGAGTCAGGAAAGAACTTATTTGAGATAAATAAATGATCAAAGCAAGACGTGTTTTATATCTTGTTTTCTGGGCAACAACTTTGTCATAACATGAGACTCAAGGATATCTAGGCTAAGAAGTGCTTTCTCTCCAAAAATTATTCAAAAATTTCAGCATTTTCCAACTTACAGCTGTTTTTTCGTATAAGTTTTGTCGTAATTCAATTCTTGTTGTTACGAGTTTTAATTCTGGTCGACACTTCTAGTGATGCTGTATTTCTGTAAATTGGATGTTGTTTCATTGTAAAGCTTTCATTGTTCTGGACAACAAAAATGAAAGCCGACCAAAAAGCAACCTTAAATACTGGATCGTAGGAAAGATACTAATAGTTTTTTATGATAAAAGTTTATTTCTGTATTTATTCTCTTTGTCAAAAAGTTACCTTTACTTTTTTTACTGTTATTTTTTTGCCAGTCGAAACCTGTTATTGAAAGCCTACGAAAAGAACGAATGATTAGCATGAAACAAACATTGGAACAGTATGAAGCTAATTTAAGAAATTTAGTTGATTACACTGGTGTGTGCTGAATATATATATATATATATATATATATATATATATATATATATATATATATATATATATATATATATATATATATATATATATATAACATTGGAACGACTATATGTATTCACATTTACTCCTGGTTTTAAATAGGCATTCATGTATTTTGATTGACTGTTTTGTATTAACAGAAAGGTGTATATTGTTTTGCTGGGTTTTACCTTGTTGTTGTTTAATTCAGTCTGTTATTTTTTAGCAACGAATCACCGTGATATACTATCAGTTTTTGCTGGAGGTAGCATACTTTTAGTTGGCGGTGTCATGAAAATTGCTAACAGATTAATTTTTCACTGGTTGAAATCATGAGTCAATTGAAGCTAGACCACCATGGAAAACCTGGAAGCACTAGACGGCCGTTTCGTTCTAGTATGGGACTCCTCAGCAGCGTGCATCCACGATTCCGCTCCACGATAGATTCGAACCCAAAACCTATAAGTCTCGCGCCAGCTGCTTAGCCAACTAGACCACTGGGCCTGCATCCAACTGCTGAGGCGTCCCATACTGGTACGAGACGGCTGTCCAGTGCCTCCAGGTTTTCCATGGTGGTCTAGCCTCAATTGACCCATGATTTCAATCTGTGAAATTTCTAAAATCTCCACAAAACCCATTCGGATTAATTTTTCTTTGATTTTTTTTTACTAATCCATTTTAGAGTGAATATATCTGAATAAGTCGATCATACTTTATTTCCTGAGTGTCTACCGTATTTATGTCTAGATGTGTTGTGTGTAAGAGCTGAATAAACTATATTTAGTGAAGTTAGGTTCGAATTCGCCGTCCAAAAGTTAAAAATCAAATGTTTTAGACACGAAACACTCATCTCAAGTTACTGCTTTGTCTTTATTGTTAACAACAGATTTAAACCTCACTCCACTAACTGATTGACTGAGCCATACGAAAACATACATTGGTGTAGTCTGGCGTTATTTTTACCAATAGAAGAAGGGTATCGAAATATAGACTAAAAAACAATATATGTAAACAGGTTATTGACTAACATAGTGTAATAAAATATTCAATATGCCAGTAGAATACAACGAGTGTATCTGAATACATTGTATGTTTCAATATACAAATGTTTTCGTATGTATGTCCTCGGTGACTTAGCTAAATTTTCGCTAGTTCAACAACCATAATGCAATTAATTATCTAGGTTTTCCAATGATGTTTTACACAGTGGAAGTTCGTATCCACATGTGATGGTGTAAAGACTGTGCAACACAGTCTACTGAACAAGAAGGCTTCAGGATTGTGTTTTTTATTTTTTATTAGCTAGATATAGATAAATCGAACTTCTGCAGTTGTATGTAATTTTAAGATTAATATATTTTTTTTCTACTATTTGAGTGCATCGTTATTAAAGATTACCATTTTTTCAAATAAATTATCTTCTAGGAGTTGGTGTATATTTCTATCAAACGAATAATCAAATTATTAATCATTCTTGCTCATCACATTAGTAGTAATTGTGTCTCGATTATCCCTACTGGTTTATTATTTGCATACCAGCGACTTTGAACAATAAAATTTTGATTTCTGAATAGATCTAACATGGAAAACGGACTGTTGATAATAGTAGGGAACTAAATCTTAAAAAATTCGAAAAAAAGAATGATTTTAAGTAGAAATGTACAAAATAGTGCTATTTTCATGACCTAGAAGAAAAAGAAATCTGTAAATTCGTCCCCGAGCTGCTTTTTATGGCCTCGTCATGTATGCTACGGTCAGATCACAAATCCCGACTAGCGCTTATCCACTTCTGGTTCATATAAGACTCAGCAATTTTGTGGATCGGTGCTTTTGTTTGGTCTATATTCCTACTTTGACCAACCAAAATCCCTGAGGTAACCTTTGGCCGAGCTTGCGTAGCATATGTCGTAAATATCTCAGCTAATGATAGGTCATAACCTTACCAACCAAATTATCAGTACCATGTCATCCAAAATCACTATTAAGTAATTAGTGCTTCTACCACATCACATCAGACCACGAAGACACTTGTTTATTGAGCCATGTAGGTGGATGTGGTGTCCGTGTGATTGTCGTAACTACTATTCCATATTTTCTCGAATTTTATCTCCGGTGCCTAATACTTTCTACCACCTCTAATACTTTTACTATGTTCACTACTCTAGAATTTTTCTTGATAATTTCATCTTGTGCCTAATGGAATATGACATCTTGTTCCGATGTGCACATGTGGCAGGTTCTACGTTGTGTATGGCTGAATGATTGGCTGAGGTATTCTTTTTCTCTAGTGTCTGTTTGTACTTATGCCTTGATTGTTTGAGCACTATAAGTGTTGGACATCATTAGGTGTAAATCATTACTTACTTACTTACGCCTGTTACTCCCAATGGAGCATAGGTTGCCGACCAGCATTCTCCAACCCACTCTGTCCTGGGCCTCCTTTTCTAATTCCATCCAATTCTTGTTCATCTTTTTCATGTCTATTTCCATTTCTCGGCGTAATGTGTTCTTTGGTCTTCCTTTTTTCCTTTGGCCTTGAGGATTCCATGCGAGGGCTTGTCTTGTGACGCAGTTGGGTGCTTTCCTCAATGTGTGTCCTATCCACTTCCAGCGCTTCTTTCTGATTTCTTCCTCCGCTGGGATCTGGTTTGTTCTCTCCCACAGTACGTTGTTGCTAATAGTGTCCGACCAACGGATCTGAAGTATTTACACCTTTTTGAATAATTTTTCCAAAAACGCTAACCAAGAGAAATTATTCAAAAAGGTGTAAATCATAACTGCAAAAAAATGTTGAGTCCGAATTTTCTGGTATTCATTACACATATTCCACTTTTCAGTAATCCTCTTTTAATTAACAATACCGTACATATTTCACATTCAACTTTCCATTTGTTTTATCTTAGATCAGTTCTGACAGCTGAGTTGAAATTAACTAGTATAACGTAAACAGTATATAATTATTGTTAAAAAGTTATTTCAATTCAAGCAGTACAACATATTCGTATAGATTTACCTTTTATAAATTATGTTTTCAAAAAAATTGTTTGATTTGTAAAAAAACTTTACTGATGTTGTAGGTCCTCTATTCAAATCATCTAATGAACGCGCTAATCCTCGCTATGATTTTGTTCCAACCAATCTTCACGTGAATCAGATAGCTTTAACGGATGTAGACGGCCAACTAGGTAAGGCTGAAGAGTATGTTACTGCTATTTTTTTGGTGTATAATGTATCACGTGAGAAAATTAATGTCAAAACTGGTATTTCTACTGTGATGTGATTCTTTGTACCGATTAGTTTTGTTTTCATATGTTCTTGGAAATTAGCTATTATCGTAATAGAATCAGTTGATAATCACGTCTGCTATTAAAAGGAAAATTCCTCATTTATTGGTAGCTGGACAGAAATCATACGTTGATTGAAACAAAGTGGAATTCCGTTTCATCCTGAAGGTTTCGATAATTTAGCACTGTTAAATTTGTTTTTGACCTTCCTACCTGATTTAAAAGGCAGAGAAATTTTTTTAGTCAGTTTTGGATTTGTGTCACAGATGTTATTAACATATTGAATTTAGTCCAAACACTGATTTTATAGGTTTTAAGCAATATTTTAGATCCCTACAGAATGTTACTACATTATTCAATAATGTTGAGTGGATAGAATGGGGGTCTAAAAGCGAATACATTCAGCTGTTATTTCATAGGCCCGAACTCCACTCCACCTATTTCGGTTTGGGCGTTCCCTTAGTATTACTACCCCTCACGCAATTAAGATAGCACTAAAAGTTGAGTACATAAACACATATTTGGCAAGTGAGTATTGTCGACAGAATAATAAATCTTCAACGTAAAAACTAGTAACAGAAATCTCTGATTTTGTTTAATTTCAGTTCTTCGATTGACTGTTTAGATCTGCATCATATAATTCAGGTGACTTCTGGTCTGAAAGTAAAAACATGTCATATATTAGAAATGTCAGTAATAAGAAATGGATGAAGCACTCAAATCAGTCACTTTTTCGACATAAATATCTGTAATGAAATTATAAGTTATCATGGATGTATTTCACTTCTTTGATATTTATTCAGAAGTAAAACCGGAACTAACTAGTTTGATCGTATGATGGGTACTTTATTAACATATCAATATTAGAAAATTATGAAGCTGCTCAAACTATTGAGTATTCACCTTTTCCAGAAAGTACTTGGGTAATTTTCAAGAGCTATGACTTCAATTAATACACATTAGTTCCCAGGTTTCATATATATATTTATATTTTTTGAACTGTTTATATTTATTAGGATCAGGAAAATTGACTAACTGTATAATGAGTAAGACTATATGATATTTAAAGTTGAAACTATTTTGTTTATTCATTTTCCTTATTTTTAGCTTAATAAATAGTTGTTTATTATGCTAGGCATAATGATATAATTCTGCAGGATTTTAATATATAATTGTCAATCATTAGATGATGAACTCAATTTGTTTTCAGCACATGGACTCATGAACATTATCATTAGGTTTCTTAGAATAGTTAGGGTTTAAAATATATTTTTTTGATGCAATGGATCTACATTAGTTAATGAATTAATTCATATTATAAATAGTAATGGAAATGAGTCATTAAGTTGATTATTCACAAATAAACAAGTACTATATCATAAATTCTTTATCATAAATACTTTATCATAAATTCAGTATGTCAGTTATATTTGATCAGTAGATGTAGATTTATTTTAATTGTTATAATTTATGAGTTACTATTTTGTTGGGATGTGAACATCATTGTAGATTATTACGCAACATCAAGTGGTAGTAATGATATTTTCTTCTTAAAATTCAATCTGGCTGTTTTCTCAATTTCAATGGTCAGTTATGATAAATGTAATAGACCTTTATTTTTGTGTAATTAGTTTTTAAAGAAAAAAATATCTTAAAACGTTTGCTTAATTGTGGAAAGAGAAGATAACACGTTGAATTCCAGTAATACTGATATATGTTGTTTGAGATGTTTACCGAAATAAAATAAATTTCTCTTAATTATTGAATGTTAGCTTAAGTCATATGGATAATTGTAAGCTTGATAGATTAGATCTATGAGGTTGATCAATAGTTGGAAATTTTCGGTGTTATACATTGAACTGTAAATTAATACATTGACTGTATCTTACCATAGTTAATTAGTGTGTTATTCTCCTGAAGGTAGAAAATATTCTAGGTAATTGTGTGGAAAAAAAATTATTGTTTATTATGTAGTTGTGTTATTTATAACGTGATCTTTATCTATAGAGGAATTAATATTGTTTATTCTGAACCAAATTATTCTTATTGGAACTAGTGTTTATTTTTCAAGTTTAGAAACCTACACAGTTGTACATAATCTCAGAAGTAAAACAAAGTAATGAGTTAGTGAACACGTGAATATAGATTTAATTAAAGTATTTCCATACAGGTTTAAGGTGTAGCACTAGTGGACACTTGGAGAAGATTTTAGAATCTTCTTACGCAAAAACTGTAAATATACTTACGTTTCTCTCATTATGATTCCTAGTTCCATCTACCCTTGCTATTTGGAATATAATTTCGTTCCTGTTCAACTGTGTTCAGGTTTGGGGACTTGTCGAGTGAAGTGTTCAAGACTACTAAGCAATAAAAGAAATTAGAACAGAGGTACGTGGTGAAATTAGACCTAGAATGTGTCTGTTTTGAACGAGAAATCCATTAAAAGTATAAATGTGTTGTTTTCTGTTCATTAGTTGACAACATTAATTAATCAGTCAGATTATAAACATACTCCCTCAATAACTTATAGTAGTGTACGAAAGTGAATGTGTTACTGACAATCGCTCACAAATTTTAACGTTAATATATTATTTTAGAATTTATTTTTTTGAATACATAAATATTGGTACAAGGGGGCACCAGATATATATGTGCCTTACGAATTAAGCTCTAGAGTATAAACCACTGTTTCAGTGATATGACTAAAAATAGTGTCAATTACACTCGTTTTTTTTTACTTTGCTGTGGATGTACAGTTGACACGTTCTATGATTTTCCTTTTTCTGATTTCATTCGTTCCCTATATATGGTATTTCTCATATTTAGATTTTCATTTCAGATAGTTATTACCCCATTTCTGTCCTCGTTTTTATTAATTTTTCCGTCTTTCGTTGTCATGATAGGCTACAACTTATTTTGTATGTTGTTTTTATAGTTGAACGACAAATCAGCCTACTTATATGTCGGATTTTATAAACATAAGGATTTCTTGATTTTTCCAAATGTCCAATTTATTCGAAATTTTCCGTTCTGATTTCCTCTTCATTTGTTTGTTTGTTTCTTTTCTTTGAAAAATTCAGTTTCCTCACATAATATAATATCTGTTGGTTCATTTTCATTGGCTTCTCGACGTTATAAATCTGGTGGTTTATTTCGGATGGCATTCGATACTATGATTACATCAACACATACATATCCACCTTCAGAATTATCTTATTTAAATATATCATCGGAATCACCCGTAGCTTCTGCTACATGTCTTTTAAATACAAAACCTATTGGTAAAGCTATGGATTTATTATATCGTGGAACACATTCTATTGCTTTATTAAGATCTGATTTAGCTGGTCTTATTCAAAGATTAAACGCACCTGGACAGGCTGAACCATTAGCTCAACGTTTGCAAAAAACTGTATGTTGTTAAAAATGTTCATTTTTAAAAATATTTTTGACTATTTTTGTCTGTACATTCAATGAAGTAAACCTTTTTTCAAAATAACCCATTATGCCATTAAATAAAAATAAGGAAAATTCAGCGAAAAAAGTGTTTTTGACGAAATCATTTACTTAAGCTGTACATTCGGGCCGGCCTACCATCAACGGATAAAATCCTGTCTTAGGTCACATCGATATGCGTTTATAAATTTACTTACTCTTGTTGGAAAGGTTAAATTGGTCACTTCCCAAACTGATTTCAGAACAATACCCGGCGTGGCTTTTCAAAGGGGAATGCAAAACAGTCACCAGTTCAATACAGGAGTACCTAATCAATTCTGGACACGTCACTTCAAAGGAGTCTTCTTTTAAAATAATCCATACAATCGAAGGAACCGGGTCGAAGTAAGGTCGAATCAAAAACGTACTATTTTCATCCTTCTATTCTTATCTGACCCCCTGATTTTTACACAACTTCACTTAATATTTAAAATCTCGAATCACTTTATGTAGTAATCTTTTCTATCTCTTTACAGACTTATATATTTACCAAACAACTATAAATATGAATATACAGCTTGAGTAAATGATTGCGTCGAATAAAAATTCCTCTTCACTGAATGCTCTTTCATTTCCTGGAGGCTTTATTTTATTAGATATAAAGAAGTTCAATACACGTAGTCATGTTATGCATTTTTCAGCTAAAAAATTTATCGGTATGATTATGTAAAATAATAACTTCTAATAAATATTCGTTCAATATGCTCAATTTCGCACCAACGGGATACACGCAAATGTTACTTATTGTGATCATGTGATGATCATAACCTCGCAGCAGGGGCGTTGTTTACGAAATCTAGAGGACGAAAAAGCGTATGTTTGGTGCTTTAATCAGGTTGGTGGATATTGAGGATTCACCTGGAGGAGTTTGGAAACCCTAGTTCCAAACCAATGGTGCACACGGGCTCTAGGTTCCTGATGCAACAAAAGGTGTATAAACCTATTGTTAGTCACCGGCTACTATTGGACTGCATTTTATAACGTCGCTCCACTGCCTTGTCGATTAGACCTCAAGGTCAAAGGTTCGGCTAATGGCCTCCTAATAAAACCACCTGCTTCGGTTTGGGTGCCCGTACAGTATTCCATCCGTCACGCATATCTAATGATTTATGTGGCGTATTTATATTTGGTGCCTTCTTTTACTAATGTTTATGTGTTTAAATAAATGAATATGCTGTTATAAATGCTTTGACGTGATTATAAACTTTAATCAAAGTAATTATCATTAAACAAGTGATTTTGGTTTCAGTTTATTTTAAATAAATTAATTCCTTTATTTCGCTTTATAGGTATCTTCTATACAGTGGATCTTTTCAGATAAATTATTATCTAACTTAAATATTCTACCAGTTGTTTCATGTGATTTCGAAGTGATTATCACTTTACTTACACAATTATCATCAGTAGAAATAATGAAATCAACAGATTCTCAGTGAGATTTAATTTATTGTTATATTAACAATTTCTTTTAGTTTTTATTTCCATTTCACAAATCATCATTTTCAATGTTCTATTTTATTAATTATTGATTACAATAATTATAATTGTTTATTATTTATTAAAAGGTTTAATATAAGAATTCAATGTATTGTAAAGTCAATCATTGTAATAATAATATTTTCTTTACAATAATCATAAGTTACATGAGGCATGTTAATTTATAGGCAAGATCAAATACTTATAAATGTTACGATATCCACTACAGTAAACTTAATTTCTCAGGATACTGGAGCCCATGTGCACCATTGGTTTGGAATCCGGTTAAAGCGCCGGACATTCGCTTTTCGTCCTCTCATTTTCGTGAACAACACCCCCGCCACGAGAAGACAGTGAGTAGCACTTTGATTAAGGGAGGTAGTTTGAATAAAGCGTGCGTCGCATTTGTGTACTTTGGGTAGATGCTACTGAATTTCTTGAACTTTGATTTTTGGTTTAGAGTTTCACCGCCCTTGATGTACTGGATGCAAATGTTAAATCCTAGCTCCAACCTGTAACAAACACATTTGTATTTTCAAATAATTCATGTCTTTTTCATGTTCAATGTTCACAACTCTATAAAACGTTTATTGATTCAAAATCAACTATTCAGCTTTTGTAGTTAAATATCATTCTTAGTAATGTTATGTTAGTGATTTTTCAGGTAAACACTCAATCTGATTTCAGTCTAACTGAAAGCTGGTCAGATTTATTATTCTCTATCTTTCATCATCGTTTGAAAATGCATGACAATTTTCACTGTCAACAGTTTAATGCCAACTAATATATTAATTCGTTTTGATTAATCTTGACTTATCCTTTTTAACATTTCAAATAACTTGAACAATAGTGTTTCCAATGAGTTTTAGTAACATTGAATTATAAATTCTTAATTATATTAGTTTCTATCGTGATTCGACATTCTTTTCTTCATAAAAAGAGACATTTTATCATTGTTTTTTATTCTATTCAAATGTAGACCATCACAACCCAATGATCATGTAATAATTATAAATAAAAAACAAAATGAGTCTCGTGAAAATTTAATAGATTCTTTAGATAAAGCTGGTCAAAAATTATCCATTACTTTGGAACGTATATGGGAAAGTGCAGCATCAGTGCTATGGGATCATGTCTTGTCAGGTCTTGCAGATCTATCAAATCAACAAACTCTTTCTGTTAGTAAAGAAAGTTGTGGCAATTATTCTGATTTAATTGCTGAAGCAGAACGTTCCGCTTATACCAATATGTTACCAATAAATGATAATGTACTTACTGCTGTTTCAATTATTCAAGATTCATTCAATTATCGACATCATGCATGTGTTTGTCAGGTAGATTATCCAGTAACATTATTTGATTTATGTACTTTGGTAATTAACTCAATTCTATCCTCTATTATTTTTCATGAAAGTTATAACTTAAGAGATACAATTTAGTTATTCTATGGTGGGATTTATTATGTACTAAAGTATGTATATTTCTAGAGGTGAATCAGTTTAATGTTGGAAACATTCTTTCTATACTGCTTAAATCCTAAAAGATTGAATTTATACTCAAGTTGGTCAGCTGACTTCTCCTAATAATTCACTAGCTACTTTATCTGAATAATTGTAGATACAGCATTGGATAGTATAAAATAAATAAGTTTTACTGTTTAGAAGTAATCTCTTGTCGCTCCCAAATGCCCTGGTACGACCGAGAAGCGGGAGAGTCCGCTCTCCCTCTTGAAATGCTCTCACATAGCCACGCGTATATGGCCTATGCCAGGGAATTCCTACTTACTGCCTTCTTGTAGCGGGGGTATTGTTTACGAGACTGAGAGGACGAAAAGCGAGTGTCCAGCGCTTTAATCGGGTTAGTGGACATGGAGAGTACACCTAGGGGAGTTGGAAAAGCCTGATTCCAAACCGATGGTACATACAGCCTCCAGTATCCTGAGGGAGCAAATGGCGTATGAACCAATCGTTGATCACCGGCTAGTATGGGACTGCATCTCCTTACGATGGTCCACTGCCTTGTGGGTCATACCTTTAGGTCGAAGGCTCCGGGTGTGGCCCCGTAAAAAAACCACGTGCTTCTGTTTGGGCACCCGAGCAGTATGGCAGCCCTCACACATATCGAATGAGATTTGTGTGGCGAATATGTATTTGGTGCCTCCTTGTACCAATATCTATATGTTCAAATAAATAATAAATATAATCTCTTGTTAGAAATTTGTTGTTGAGTTTATTATCAAAGCTTGCTCTGGGAGAACTAGAACTCAGTTTATTTTATTTTCAATTAAAGAACACGTTTTACTATGTACCAACAGTTTGTCTTTCAACTTCTAATGCATAGTCTTTTCATTTTATCAATAACATCTCTTTGGATATTGAAAATTTTACTGTAAGCGTATTAGATATCTGATAAAAGTATAGATATATACCAACCAACATATTTCTCCAATCAATGCTTTTTCATCGCTAATGATATTTAATTAATGAAATATTTTTATCAAACGCAGTGGTTTATTTTAATCTGTTATATGTATGTCTTTGTACCAGAATTCCACAGACTATTTTAATCTATTGTTGCCTTATTTTCACTGAATGTATGTCAAAACACTGAACATATATCCATTGGGCTGATTATAAATGGTTATACTAGCTAGTTATTAATGTCCAGTCGCCCAGTGTTTGGTGGAAGTTATTATTTACTCTTATGTCCATTTGTCTTTTTCTCAATCGGATTTCGCTTGCAGGACTGTTTCATCTGATAATTAATTACAAATGCTTTTGGAGTTAGATGTCGTCTGAATATGTGTGTTGTTAACCATGACATTTTTTCCACTTTTTTCAACGTATTTGATAATACTCACATGGTCGCGTTTATTTTCCTGAGAAATGTAGCTATTAACCGCAGTTCTTACGGCGTTGTCAGTGCATATACCCCGATGGGATCGCAAAGATTGGGAACAAGCTGCTGTATGTGGTGTCCTAGCTCAGTTTGAAGGCCTTCTAAGTTGTTATGGCGACGAACAAGGAATGATTGAGGATTGGGCATGGGCAATTGATTATTTGTTGACGTATCGCGTTACACTTCGTCCATCTGGTAACTTTTCTGATTCCGTAATCGATACGAGTGGAAGAAATTCCGAGGATACGGACTCGAACGTTCCTACCTCGAATCTCTCTGATACTGAAGAATTTCATGTGGATTTCAAAGTCACAAGATTGAACGAATGCGAGGTATTCTAACTGATTTTTGATGATACTATGTATTACAAATGTAACGTTTTGACTTTAGTCAACGTCTAAGTTTATTTTGCCATCAGTTATTGAATTTCAATATTATTTAATATTCTTGTACTTACTAATGACTGACAGGTTAAAATGATGATTATTATTTGTAGTCTTATACCGTAATAGATCGTTTATTGCCTAAGAAATGAGGTAAATTTTCTTTGTTGAGTTAGTTTCCACCCTCCTTTTTCTGGTAAAATAAGGTAATGATTTGTGCCACATGGTAGTTCGGAGTTTTGTATGTATCCACCTAGTTCGCCAGTGATTTAAGTAACTCACATGATTTCGGTTCACTACTAGTTCATATTGATTTTATTTTTGAAGAAGGACCAACCTCAGATTAGTTGATGGCATAAAATAGTTGAGCGTCGAATTGATAAAATCGTATACATACATTTGTATGTGATTAGTTTTTGACATTACTATAATTTTTCAAAATGAAATGATACACATTTATCATCAATTTGTGATCCCTTTAAGCTTTGCAAGTGTTATTTTGGTTGTAAAATTACTTACTGTCTGTTCGTTTTTTCACCATCTTTTCATTTTTTTTCCCAGCTCACTGTTCCTTGGAAATCATGGGTTCATGCTCCTTCGGAAATTCAAGCTCGTGGTCGTGTACGAATTCGTTTACATCCTGTCTCATTTGTAGTCGGAATCAATGAACTACAATCAGTTGCTGAAACGTAGGTGTAACCCAATCCATGTTTTCTTTATTTTCTGTTTGTTTTATTTTTCAGTATACAATATTTTAGATTCCAAACTTTTCAGACATTTCAATATGAAATTATCGAAATTCGTATTTAATTCTTACATAAATTTAATTGTGATAGGTTTATGATGACTTGTGATATTTTTTATGCTACGTTTTAGTTGTATATTTTTTTCAACTACCATGTAAAGTTGGAGATACAATAATAATTGTTCAGTGGGTATTTTAATATTTACTGTAATCTCCAGAGTGTTTTTGGGAATGTGATAACTTTACTAAATGTATAATGTAACTACAGTGGTGACCCTTTGGTTGAAGCACTAGTCTTTCAGTCAATAGGTCACAGGCTCAAAGCCTCTATCTACAACAGTTTCAACCGCAGGTTTTTATCAGTAGCTTTCATGCAACCAAATCTTGTGGTTCAAAGTTGACTACATAGACCTGCACACGTTTAATTAATTACTTTAAAAGTTTAAATTATTGACTAGTCTAGATGGACCTTTCATTACGATTAATTTATATTGTAGTGGTCATTATGATTCGGGGAGTATGTGCCTGACGTGTAGATCTTAATGGTGTTATTGTGGCTAACTTTTGAAAATAAACTTTATTGATAACTTTGGCATAGGATGTAACTTGTAATTGGATACTATACACATTAATAAATAAACTGATTCTTGGGAAAATAGATTTTACGTAGTAATTTAGATGTGATCTCACAGGTTATTGATACATTTTTTGAATTGTACTGTTTTCTATAATATTGTGTAATACATGGATTGATATTTGACGGTGGGTCATAGTGATGTCCAAGATTCGTGTTATTTTATTTTGAATTTATTAGCTGTATGTAAGCGTGTTTTTGGTAGCATTCTGGCTTAAGCCTACTATGCACCTACCTTAATTTCAGTGCTTTTCTTCAAGGCTACTGATTCTCTACAGACAATGTGTTCAACTGGTATACTATTATTACCGTCCTTAATAATTATTTTGCTGTCTTATTTGTAGTTTCCTAGATAGAAAAGAAACCATCAGTTTTGTTATTTTGTGTCCTTTGAATGAACGTTTTATATTGTCCTTATTTGTTCGCTGATTGTATATTTTTCTTTGATGATAACAAATTCATGGTGTATCACAGCCTAATCACAAATCAAGTGACTTGTGTGTCACATATGTATTCGGTGCCCCTTTATACCAATATTTATATGTTGAAATAAATAAATAAATAATTAAGATTCATGCTGTATCGTCATCCGTTCAAAAAGCCATGAAACTCAATAGAACGGAATCAATTCAGTCCTGAAAATATGCAATTTAAATGTTTGCCACCAGATATATATGTGATACTCACATCGGTCTGTACATAGATTCTTTATTTGTTTTACGATTGCTTTCTGTGTTCAAGTTTAGATAAAACTGCTGTGCAAAACGCGGTAAACAATCATGGCTTGACATCTTTACGCGCTTATTTCAATCGATATACAAAACATTTTGGCGCTCCAGGTCAGATATAAAATTTCTGTTGTATAACTTATTAGTTTAACATTAATTAGCATATTTTACAGATAATCAAAAGGTATGTAGTTTAAAAACATGTTAGTTATTATTGTACAGTAACTGACCTTTCACCTCAATTTTTTTCGAAAACCATATAAATAATCTTCAATTGTTTAATAAGGGTCTTTTCATTTTTTGTTGCGGAAGTGCCGTAGATAGAGAAATATTCATCAGTTATTTATGTAATGTTATATGATTTATTATTTTTATGACTATTTCTTTTTATCATGATTTGACAGTCGATGAGATATTTCGTGTTTATTATTTGTAAATTATTGAAGTTGTACTGTAACTTCAACGAATAATTTGGTTTTCAATCCAGTTAATTTTTAAAGCTATAAGTGTGGTATATATATATATCCGGTTTACCAAAATGTGACCACTTTTAGTTTTCTATTCATCAAATTATGTAGATAAAAGTGATAGAAATACCGTTGAAATTTTAAACACAGTGCTTAGATTAATAATTTAAAAAACTGTATATTCGAGAACAGATTGGAAGGAATAAAACGTGTAACATTTATTCATACTGAACCTAAACTATAGGTAAATATAAATACAATGGCACAGAAATTGAGAATAAACTAATGGAAATCCTTCATTTTTAAAAGATGTTTGATTTCATCTGCAACTTGAAATCAATCCCAAAACATTTGTATTAAAATTTGAACTACTTGCTAGTAGTTAATAAAAGTAATGTATTTATAATCCCTAATGTGTGGAAAAGTTAAGTTTCTAAATTCTCTGACGTTCCATTAGTAGTCAGGTTTAAATAGTACAAGTAAATTTTTGTTCTTCATCTTCAGTTTACATCCCTTAAACGATTACGTGTAAGACGATTCAAGTATATATGGATAGATTAGAGTAGAATCGTAATAATTTTTAAAATTATATACATGTTTATATAATTATTTTGGGGAATCGTTTGTATTGATAATGAAGTAGGTGGGTAAGTTTTTAATATAATATGTGGGTAATATAAAACATACCAATTGGAAAGTTGCATTATTTATAACAATAATACGAATAAGAAAAACATAGAAATATTATCAATGTTTATCTCAGAATAAATGGAAAGGAATAATTATTATGGCGCACTAGTTTGTTATAAGTAGAAATAAATATATGGTTTTTGTATTTTGTTGTGACAGCTAACCTTTTATTGATTTTGCTTTGTAGGGGAATATTTTCAGTTGTAGCCTAACTCGTTCTCTCTCTGACGCCATAACCATTTTTCCCCTGAAATTTAAATTGAATGTTTTCAGTGAATACGCGTACTGCATGCATGTATTTCTCTAGTTTTGGAAATAAATTGTTAACTGATTAGAAACAGAGTATATATATATATATATATATATATATGGTGTGTTCCAAAGAGTATTTCTTTCTGAATGTCGACTATTCACCGTTGTATCATCATTTTTGGTTGTTCACAAATATATTCGTTAATTTCATACATTCTGATCACTAAATAAATTTAAACAAAGCAAGAAAAAATATTCGCAGAATAAAATGAATTCATTATATTTCAGAGTTTCCCATTAGCTTCAATGGCTCACAATTTCAATGGAAATATTATTATATAAGTGTTATTACACACCATAATCCATGAAGTTCAGTTCGAAAGGACTTAAGAAACATGAAGGAACAACATATTTAACAAAATAGCTAAGATTGATGAGCATTTATATTGTTGAAGATGAAATCATAGAGTGCAGATAAGTGGGCAAAGTTTTAAGTAACAATGAGACAATGAATATAAGCAAATTTTTAACAAATGAGTGATAATCAAGGGATCTATCTAACATAAAATTAAAGTTAACGTGTTGATTGAATGTCTATGGGATTTTTTACCATATTAGATAATGGGTTTACCACACTTTGTCTCTACATGCAAAGGTCAGGTCGAATGTGCTTGGTGGCGATGGGCTCTGTAAAACAGAGTAAAAGTGGTGTACGTTATCTGTCAATTATTTTGAACGCTTTTGAGTAATCCATGTTGTGTCCACTGCCCATTAAAATTTTTAAAAATCGTACTTGCGAAACCTACACTTTCAGGCACAACGGGGAATATGTCCCGAAGACCTTTTAGAATGCCCTTCTTTCAGTCCCTCCTATGTACTTGCTTTCATAAGTACATGTAAATTCGTAAATGCATTTGGAAGTGACCTCAAAACGATATTGACCTACTTTTGATTGATTGGTTTATAAACTGAAAACAATTAGGCTTCAAGGAATCTTATAACATTTTTATCACATTTCCTTTGTAAATTTAAACCGTTTGTAGCTGATGAGAAGCCTTGAATTATAATGAAACCATTTTATTCCGTAAGGGTTGTTCTTCTTGCTTTATTTATATTCTTTAATGTTTAATATTTAATATGAAGTAGTGTAAACATCCATGGGCTTTAGATTTGATTCCAAATCTCATGCTTAGCATACATTTACCGATTAATTGTCAATACGATTATTGAATTATATTAAAGTCACACGTTATTGCAGCTAATAATTTTCATTTTGTCAATAGAAATGTTCATAGTTGATTATAAATAAATATGAAACCGAAAAATTTGTAAGATCATGACGATCACTTGTTTGTGGTTTACTTATTACAAAATAGTAATGATATGCATCGGTTGTTTGGGGCTTCCTATTGATGTTTAGTATTCTTATAGAACAGTCTCTTTTGGTATATGTACATCCTCTGCGGATGGTTTCGATTTTATCATCAAGCCATAAATATTGTAAGCAGAGATGGATGATGATTAGCTGTGGAATCCAGGATGCGCATTTCATGTGCACTACCGAGGATATTCCAAACTAAAATGAAATCATTATCCAATGCTCCTTGAGTATACGTAGTTTTCTGTTTTGAATCAGTTTGTGACTTACACTCTCTTCAAAATGTTATTTTTCCTTATACATTCCACGTTATATGAATTGAAGTCTTTCTTATAGTTCTTTATAATCAAATTCTGTATTATTCATCAATAACTTTTATTTTTATAAACGGAAGGCTAACATTTTCCAAAAAAAATACCTTGTTTTTTTTACCAAATTTTATTGTTATTCAATGTTTAGATGATTTTTTTCTTTAAACTTTGATTAGAAGTTGTTGATGTTGTCGGGTAGTTTTTTTATTTATCTTGTCAACATTCTAATTTGTTTTTTTTCTCTCTGTTGCTAACAAATTATTCGTGTCTCAATTCTTTCTTTTTCTCCTTTATTCTACAAAACGAAATAACTTACTTTCTTAACAATGATTTCACATGATTTCAATTCTTTATCAATAATATTTATCATTTTTATTTCATCAAGTGTGTTTTCATTATATTTGTTGTAGACAAAGAATTTGTTCACTTTTCATTAAAATGTTATAAGTATAATTGAAATCTTATGAAATCCATTTAATACATCAAACACACAATATACCGATTGTAGATGATTCAATTGGAAAAATAATCTTTTCAATTTAATAATTTGATTACTCTAATCACAGAATTAATAACTTTAGATTGTATGTCCATTTAGTATTTGATTTATTCACACGTTTAGATTATATTTTGTTCTCGTTTAGTAATTCTATGATGTGAAAAGAAGAAAACTTGTTCTAATCTGTTTAGTTTTTTTTTCTCAACTAATTTCGTTTCTATATATTTTCGTGTTTTAAGTTAAATATTAGTATCATAACTTTAGTCTCATACTTTGGTTAATCATAGTTTGAGGTTCAAAACTATTTATGTCAAGTTTAAATCTTGTTTTTAGGTAAGCAAAATATTCAGTCGATGACTTATGAATTATTAAAAAAACTATCCTTGTGGTAATACATTTTCAACTATGTATTTTATAAAACATCCAGTGATCATAGTGATTCTGTAACTACTCTTCAAGATACTATATGTATGTAAACTGTAACTAACTAGTTCAGAATATGTTATCGTTTTATCTGAAAACTTGGATTTCGTCGTTGGTTCACTGAGTTTACTTGAAGCAACAACACTTACTGAATGATGTTATCATGTTATCGTGTAGTGCTGTCAAACTGAGCTCAACACTATAGTGCTCGTGATTGACTCCAGAATGATTGAACGATATTGATATGAATAAAGCATAATTTTTACTTGGCTTTGTATGTAACCTGTCTACTCAACACGTTTAAAACAGCAGCATATCAATAGTCGAATACGTGTTGTATTTACGATAGGCTTATTTCAGACATGTTAGTATTGAACAACAAACAAACTCAAACAATATTCAGTGAGTGTATGGAACATTAGAGTTCGATTATATACCGATTCAAAGAATAACAAGGTGATTCCATTTATATAAGTCATGTGAAAGATATAGTAAGTGGGTAGACACACACATACATGCATTAATGTGGTTAAGGTCAAACGTGAGTAGCTGACGAAGGCGAATATATGGGTTACAGAATAAATGGAAATATTAGAATAATTTTCCTCCTCACGTGTTAAAACAAATCATGTAAATGCATAACAATACTAACTGTTACAACCTCACATTTCAATATTTTTTCTCCATACTTTTTGTTTTTGCAAATTAGGTCGAACTGTTTCAAATCAAGATGTCTGGGATTTGCTCACCGATATTACACATCATCTTTCTACACCTGTTCGTTCAAAACCAGTTGAAGTGTTACAGTTGGCATCAGAAATTACTCAAGCATTTCATGGTTTACGAATAACAACTTGTAAATCAGCTAAAGATCGTACAGCTATGTCTGTTACTTTGGAACAAATCCAATGGTTGAAAGTAATTTTATATCTATTGTATTTTATGTCTGTTATTCTCTTCAGTGATATTATATTTATGAAATATTAATACTGTATACATGTGACAATTAAGATGAAATATTATCATTACTACAAAACTCCGCTATCTCGTAATGTAGAATTACCGAATAGATTGTGTTATGTTTGATGTTTGTTTAAAAACAAAGTTATTTTCACCAGTATTGAATGAGGTTATTAGATTTTTATGATTGATTACAACTTGGCTAGTTTGTTTACTATAAAATTATTAATCTACCAATTAATATGATATACTAATATCATCTGATTTAAGAGTGAATTAAATGAGTAAACTATAAATGGTTGTTTGATTATGTAAAGTAGAGTTTCATCTCCTTTCTATTGTCCGTTTCTTCTTAGTATGGGTTTCTTATTCTTCTATTTCTACATTATCATTCTTTTATTTTGATGATTCATTATGTTTACCATGTATAGTTAATAATTGTAGTAATTTGTGTCAAAATGATGTTCTTATATGTTTAGTTGTATATTATGCTATAAACCATATTTTAGAGTTCTATAACGGATAATGATGTTACTTCTTAATTACGGTTCGACATCCAGGTTACAACAGTTACTTTTTTTTCTAACCTCTTCTACTTGGACAGGTTATATTTTAAGAAAGAATTTTTAGTATGAATGGTAGGCACTTCATCATTTGGATTTATTTAGTTTTATACGGATTTATATCTAGTAATTATTAGTTAAAAATAAATTGTCACATTGAACGAATATCCCATCAACTTAATACCAAAGTCAAATGAAAGGAAAATCACACATAAGATCAACACATGATCCTACATTTGATTTCTTCCTAATAAATTGTGTTTGTGCATATAACATTCCCATAAGTGACTGATATTATAGTATACATTTATAATTTGTCTATAATTTTGTTATAAACTTCATTTATTCTCCTTATAATATGAACTTTTAACCATTTATAATAATTCAATTTGTTTTCTAATTAGTTAAAGCTGTTCCACTAATTAAACATTCAACTTTCTACTAAAGTATTATGATAAAACTCACTAATTATAAGTTTATGTACTCGGCTTTGAGAGACACTTTAGTTATATGATGGTTAATATTACTATCCAGCTATTTCAACCAGATACAATTGATACGGTGCTCATACCTGTCCTGTATTAGTTGAAACTTGAGTAACTATTCTTTTTTTGGGTTACAGTAATATTCACATTCATTATTTTTAATAAATTCTTTTATGAATTCGTGTAACTTAGCAAGGAAAGATACAACGATATTTAGTCATCATGATTGTTTAGCGATTATAAAAATGAATAATCTTACTTAAGAACAAGAATTTCCTGTGTTATTCATCGTCGAGGACGAATTTCATGTTTTTAATTCTGATCACAGAATAGTTATTTTCAACACTTAGCATTTATCAAAAACAGCCAATATTGTTTCTTCCTGTATTTTCAAATATTAATTTATGGTAAGAAGTGTTGTCTTTTCTGTCATAAGGTTTAAACTAATGTTTTTTTCTTCAGTATTCTTAGTTTTTTTGGTGAATCTAAATACATTCTTACGTACACATTTAGATTATGAATTTCGGTGATTATATTATATAAAACAGATAAATTTAATTGAATGTTGTCTTCCGTTATTTCTTTATGGAAACGCGAAGATACTTTTCCGCTTTTCTTTTCTGTCAACACTTCTATTCGTTTTCTGCTAATGTCTGTATATTTTTGTGTGCACAACTATAAACAAAATTGTTCAACAACATAGTCATTGATAATCTATCTTTTTCTTGTACATTGATAACAATACTAGTAATAATAATCCCTCATTCCAGGAAATATCTCATTTTCAAAAAAATATCACTTCCTTTTTCGTTTTCCGTCTCCTTCTCTCTTTTTAATTTCGTATGATGTCTGTGTGTTAATTTTATTGTGTTTGTTAGTAACTATTACTACTTATCATGAGTAACCTTTTCCTCAGTTTAAAAAAAATTCATTTTCAGCACTATTTTTATCATTGAATTCATTCGTTGTCATCGTCAATTTTCGACATAATTACTTGCCTCAAACAAAACACAATCTATCTATCTTTATTTGATTGTATATTGAACTATGTGAAACTTTTTATGTTACATTGTTCATTCGTGGTTCGCTCTTTAATATTAAGTACTGTAGAATAAGAACACAGTCAGTCAGTCAGCTACAATGTAGGACCAGGCACATATATGCATTGGTCCAAGTTGCCATACCTCATTAACACAACAAGATGGACACCGGATTCATAAAAGTAGTTAATTCAGAGGTGGTAATATGTAAAAGGTAGATTGCAATAAGGATATAGTACAGGAAGAAAGAATTAGTTCGTAGAAAGAAAGATATGAAGCAATTTTAATCTCTTAGTTTAAGGGAAGATAGAGAGTGTATACACCTACTCCATTGTAATCGATTTTGAGCCATGTCACCAAGAGTCTCCAACCATTGGTTACGATAGTCACGTGGACCCCAACCAAGTAGTCTGCATCTACCAACATGGCTCAGACTAGAAGTTAGTGACTTTAAGCACTGATGCCACGTTTTGGTTTGAATAAGAACACAGTCATACTTTAACTTTAAATTTCTATAATTTACTATTAATTGGTCTGGTGATATTTTGGAATTAAACAGAACATTACTAGGAATACTTATCATATCTGTGTATGTACTTATATATATTTGTGTCTTTATCATCATCATCATGAGAAACACCTTGTTCAATTATTTATAGCCTTTTATTTTGAAAAAAAAATGTTTTTTTTCTCCTACTCTTATTGCTATCCTTAATAACTTTGTAATTAGTATATTATAAGGCAAAAAAAATTATTATTCAACGAAGAAATAGAATAACAAAAAGTATATGTTCACTTGTTTACTTTTTTTCTCAACAAGTTAAATTCAAATAGATAATTAATGGAAAAAAAAATATAAAAGTGATTCTTTTTTCTCATTTATAAAATTGGTTCTGTTACTATGGTAATAAAACAATGTGTATATCTCATTTTTCATCCCTTTCTCTTGTTCATCATTCATACTTTTTAATTTCATTTCTGTTATTGCGTTTCTATTATTAATTTATATTATCTATGCGTATTATTACCTTACATATGATATATATGAGATATAGAATCATTATGTTTCTTTTTTTGTTATTGTTTTTACATAGTAAAAGTTGAATGTCGGTAGTTCAACAGGAATTATTGCAGTTTAATATGTTTATGTGTATTGTTTAATTTGTTTTATTCATGTAATTAAAAATTCATTAATTTATTTCTGTTCATTTTGTTATTATAATCGCGTGTGTAGCATTAGTTTCTGGTCAAGTTTTCTTTATATATATAGCGTGATTTATTGAAATATTATTTATTATTTTTGGAAAATATTCATTAATGAATTTGTTTTTCTGTTGATTAATACTATCCATTATAGTTTATGTTAAACATCTTCTGTACTTAGGATATTGTTCTGAAGATCTATTTATTTAATTTTTTAAAAATAGATTTTATGTTCATTTGTTGTTGTTGTTGTTATGAATGCTCGAAACGTATGACTCAAAATCGTTTGCAATGGTGCTGGTGCATCCACTATTTGTGTTCTCCCAAATATCTAATCTTTTGAATTCTTTATGTCTTTTCTTTTCCTCTTTCCAAATTCATTTCACTGTATTATACTCCTTGACTAACATATTCAAACCCTAATGTTTCCGATTAATGCCTATACATTTAGTACCTGTACCACTATGGTATTTGTATCGACAATTGTATCTGAGTGCTAATGTGTTATGGCAAATGGAACTGATGTGCGTACGTACGAAGTTCTACGTTGTTTATGACTGACTGATTGTCATGTATGGTATAAAAAAGTAAATTCTACCACTGTTTTTCAATGTCTCTGTTCTGTGGCATTAGTATTTTGAGGTTATATATATTTTTCAAAGTGATTAAACATTTTATGCTACAAACAACTTTCTCAGTAGTGCAATTTTGAAATAGTAATTGACAGAAAGCCCACACTGATATAGTTTTTTCTTTTTTTTTTTTTTTGCAAATACATATTAGTGGAATGTATTCATAACATCTATGAACATTATTAATCTTTTTCCATTGCGCTAACAGTATTTATGTACAAATTATTGGTAATCTATTTAAATTGTCGATGTATCATTACTCAATATCACTCACTGTATAGTTTAGTTTAAGTATCTTCCATTTTGGATTTACCATTTGAATAATTGAAACACCACTCTTTGCTGGTTATCACCACTACTTAGTGACTGATCATCGTGCAGAACTTCTAACTGATAAAAATGCTATATATATACATATATGGAATTATTAAAATTGTTAATTTACACTTGTCATCTACATGGCACTGGTTTTTTGTTGTTGAAATTTTAACCATTGGCTGTTATTGCGAAAGTTAGCCCCATGTTGGCTGTATGTCCTGTCTGAATTAAATGGGCTAAAATGGAGCTGTTAACAGTCTGAACTACCCCTTTGCTTCACCATTTTCGGAAGTGCTTACCAGCCGGAATATACAAATTCCTAGAACATTTCTTAATGTAACTTGCTCCACAGGAACAGCTGGATTGGTAGAGACAGAAAGAGGTGGCAAGTCTAGGCAATTTATCTTTCACCCTCAGAGTGATCATTAGACGTGTGGGAAACATTAATTGTAGTTTATCTGCATTGAAAGTTCTTTGGATTGATCCGCGTAACTCCAGTCTTAGAATTACACTAGGTGCATCTCCTCAGAATTGTAAGCGTATGTACAGATGTGTTTTGTTCACGGTTAGACATTCCTTATGCTCTCTTTTAACGGTTATGCTTTCATTTATAAATTTCTCCGGATATCTGTTTCCTTTCAGGGACGTGTACACTGCCTTTGTTTAATCTTCGACTGCATCTAGAGAGCATATGGTCTTGATTCTATGGTACAGTGTCTTAATCAGGTTCCTTTTGTACTGTAGAGGAACAAAACTAAGAAAATTTGTATATTGGCCCATCCAAGTAGTTTTCTTGTTCATGTTTCTTCTTAATGACCCATCTTTTCTCCTTGTAAATAGAACATCTAGAAAGACTATCCTATCTCCATCCTTTTCCGCACATGTGAATTTTATGGACGGATGAACTGTTTTAAATCACTCAAGTGTTTTTTATGTCAAATATAGTCATTACAAGTGATAAATCTATCGCCTATATATCGGCAGTCAAATGAAAGCTTGTCAATCTGTTGTGCTAGTGTGTTGTTTTCCAGTTTAGATAGAAAAATGTCAGTCAATATGGGACCTATGGGTTAACTCATAGAGACACCATCTATTTGTCTATAGATATCACCATTGAATTTGAAATGTAAATTTATAGTACATAATTAGTAATAATTCTTTGATGATCCCCACAGGGATTGTAGTTTCTATTTCTTGTTCTCTAAGTTGTTCACAAATATTTTCTACAATCTCTCTGAGTGGGACATTAGTGCACAATGACTTTACGACAAAGGATATCATCGTTTGACCTTTGGTGTTAATGTTTTTAATCCTGTCGACGAATTGGAATACATCCTTATTACTATGCTTCACTAGGTGTTCGTGGAGTGAATTTTAAGACGGTTACTAACCACTTTGCCACAGTATGATAAGGAGAATCGTACATGTCCAAAATTGGTCTCAATGGGATATCCGGTTTATGTACCTTCGGTAGTCCGTATAACCTATGAAAATGGGTACCTATCGGCTTAATTGTTTCATATATGTTTGGTGGAATCATCTGTTGATCTCTGGGCTTTTTTAAAGATCTGATCACTTCATTCTCTATCTTATTATGGAAATTTTTTTGATTATTCAGTTTCTGAAATGTTTGGTTATCATTCAAAATATTATTCATCTTGTCCATGTAGTCTTTTTTGTTAATAGGACAGTTCCTGTTCCTTGATCAGGTTTCGTGATAATCACATACTTGTCATTAATCAGTTGATTGATTGCCTCTTTGTGTTTTTTTAGTTAAAATGCTTCTGTAGTTATATCTACTATTCTTTAACTGATAGCAACTGTCAACTAGGTTTGGTTTGAAACGTTCAAGTTCCTGATCAGAAGTCGGGACTACATTTGATGATTTAAGTTTTCAAATTAGATGTCCGTATCTACATGATTCACGTAGTTTCGTGTATCACAAAATTTTAGACCTAGTGCTAATACTTCAAGTTTTTCTTGAAAATTAAACCACTTAATTATGCAAGAATTGTCCTAATGTAATCTAATTATGAACTAGGAGATCTTTATCTAAAATATCATTCAGTATGTCAAATTTAAAATATATTTGGAATATTCTACTGAGTAGTGAAATTACAGTTCTGACACTTTATCCTAGTTTAAATCGATTGTTCAGTGAATTTTAACTTTAATACAATGAACTAAAACAGATCGCTTAGTAAATACGAACATGTCTTGTCACTTCAGTTGGGTTAAATGTGGGTCTATGTACAACTATTTTAGGTTGAGTATTGATATAAATGCAGGTGAATAATTGTCATGATCTTATTTAGCTTGTACTTATTTTTATGTTGTAATATAGAATAGGTTGATTAATAACGTCTTCGACAGATTTCTTAGTTCTACTCATTTGTGTATTAAAAAATATATGTGAAATTATTATTATTTATTTATTCATTCATCTTCTGATCTAATTTGAATTGTTAAGTTAAATCTTTTCAATAAACTTATTTGTCAGAAATACTGTTTCACTAAACTTTTAGTTACCGAAATTTGGATAAGTAAAGCTTTAGATTTAGGTTTTTTGCATTAAACAGTTAGATACATCTAGTACTTCAGCGAATTTGTATTTTAAATTATTCATCAATTTATAATAAACAAAATGTTTTCTAATAAGTGTTGCACTCATCTTTTCCGTATGTAAGGATTGTTCATATTCGAACCTATAATTTGGAACTAGGGTTTCAAGCTTGTAAGTATTGTATCATCAATTTTGTTTGAACAACTGACTGATATTGTTACTAATCCTACAGTATCTTCAGTTGCATAGCTTTTCAATTCTATGTAGTGTATAATAAAGACATGTTTGTTGATAGTATCAACTATGATTTGTTTCATCTCAATGACGTAAATTTTCTCTTGTTTCTACTTTTTTTAAATATTTTTCAAGAGTGAAGGTATGCATGAAAGTTGTTTTACTAAAGCTCTTCAATGTATTCGAAGCACTGGTCTACGTTTAGATAATGTAATGAAAAATACTGGTAAACGTAAATATGCGTTCAATCGTCTGCAGCTATTATCATTTCCAAGATTGTATAAACCACCAATGGGAACATATTCTACAAATGTATCATCTTAATATATATCGTCGATAATAGATTTATTCAACAATCAATTTGATTTATTCGACACTGATTCTTATTTTTCCTATCTACTTTTCTCTATTTTCATTTTATCATTGATGAAAACGAAAAAGAGACTCATTCTTTCTTTTGATATTTGAACAGTCAATTTATCTTTAAGTGGAGTATAAGTATGTTTCAATATTATTGTTATTATTATTACTATTACTAACAAAATACTAAGGATAATACTTTATCAATGATAACTGACTTTATAATCACGTTGATTTCTTTTTTCCAATTTTTGTCTTTCCTAACCTCATTCTTTCCTTTGTGTCATTGTGTTTTGTAAAAATAAAGTCTCTTTTATTCATTTCATTAAAACTCTTATGCATTATTTACTACTAATTTTGATTGTATAGTTGTATTCATACTGTTTCTTTGATAATTATGATGACAATAATGATTGAATTCATTAACATCAATTAATCTATACTTTATTCATTGATGTATATTTATTATATCTTAAGAAATAATTACTTATTCTAATTTATCTCACGCAATGTGTAATGTCGGTAACTACTGCTCTTAATATGTCGTGCATATATATATATAAATCTATACATGTTGAGACGACGAGTGTATATTGAGTTCATTTTTATTCTTTCTTCACAACATAATGTAAGTGTGTGTAAGTAAAAGATGAACTGTTATTAAACAATATTTCAATGTACAATAATTTCTCAATTGTCTCCAGTTCATGATTTTAAAACAAGAAACATTGTTAAATCATCTTTGAGAATTTTTATTTATTTATTTTTGATATTCTATTGAATGTAAATGATGACATGACTCTAGATGTTAAATTATATAGTGTGGAGTTATTAATTATTCATAATGATATTTTAGTTTTTTGTTGTTGTTGTTAAGAAAAATACATTTTTTTATTTCAATATCGAAAATGTTCGACACATGTTAATGAATATAAATAATGAAAAATTACCAGATAATTGTAATTATAAAGTTGAATAGAATAATGTCAAATGTATTCAAGTATAGAAATCTCTAAACAGTATAGTCGGGAAATCAAATAGAAAAAAAAAACAGAGAGAGAGATTAACTGAATCAATGTGGTGAAGAGAGTGCATTTTTCAGAGAAATTTGCAAGATTACTGGTTGTTTCGTCAGCTTGTCAAAGTGAAAATGATAAAAATAAAATTGAATTACAAGTATCAATGCTATTCGTAATGAATCTTGTATATTAGGTACCTCATTAGAAGCGTCATTATTAAATGGAGAAACCCAACAAGAGTTATAACAAACCAGAATAACTCTGATGTAGCAAACTATACTATACTATAGAAGAAGTTTGGAAAATAATGATAATCCCAGCTGATAAAACGGCATACCAATATTTATGTGTTCAAATAAATAAATAAATAAATACCATATTAGAAATAGATGAGGTTGACCATCGTAATAAGACTGAAGATGAAGGCAAGCACCAAACAGTAGGAATTAGTTCGTTTAAGAATTCAGGCAGCTAGCTTGAAAGAAACTCATCAAACAGGATAAATAACAAACAATGAACAACCTCAAGTAAAACGCTGTGGGCTTGTACTCCTTCAGTTTCACGGTGGATCAAGGTGTGTAAATCAAATACTTTCCTGCGTTCAGCGTTTTCGGATTCAAATACTAATTTATGATCTAAGTGGTATTTTTTTAGCTTTATAGATTTTATGCGATTCACACACAATATACTAGTATTCTTAACGATTACAACCATGTTTGCCTCCATTATTAGATATGATCATCTTAATACTGTTCTTGTTAGACTGACTGATCAAAACTATACCATGCAAAATACCCAAATTTATTTAAAACAACTAAAAAATTGATAGAATAGTAGGCAAAGTGGTGATAGAATATAGTTTTGAAGGCAATTTGTTTATCATTTATGTCTTCGATTGTCTGATCAGTTACGATTCCCGAATGAGCTGATCTGAAACAGCACAAGAGAAGTGGAATTTTTGGTACAAAATGACTAAATTCTCACTTGCAACAGTAACATGTCAATGACTCAAAACACTAGCTAAATGCGAAACTTAATTAAGAGAGACACACCTTCCTCAAGGACAAATGAAAAATTCCTATCGGTTGTCTTTCATAGGGATGAAATTTCATAAATTTGCTGAAAGAATATTTATGAGCCGCATCAAGTAAGAAAATCAACCGTGGACAATAGGTAATGGATAGTCTCATCGGAAACACTTGAATCTAATTCAGTGTATGTGTTTATAAGAAAGTAATCACTTTTTAGTTCCTGTAAAGTTAGAAGAAAGTGTATCTATCATACCATCTTCAGACGAAAATTATAGTCTGAACTTTAGAAGGTTCCATTTTAGCACACTTCGTTCAAATGAACTAAAATCCCAAGAAATAGCTATTTAGGTTTTTCGAAAACTCTTCTGTTAACCACATTGCCTCCATAATTGATCGATCATGTTTACCATAAGCTAATTAAATGTGCTTATCTACTTCCATTCTACATTTTACTGAACTTACATCTATCTGGTTTAATTATTTTTCTCTTTCAGTAAAAATCGATTTGTGCATTACGTAATCTCACCGTACGTTTAATATTATTCTCAGTTATACAATTATTCCATCTAACCTAGTTTACCGATACTTATTTTGTTTAATAATAATAATAATCTTTGCCCTGGTAGCATTACTCCCCTTTTTTATTTTTTATATATTACGTCATTCCAACTCTCTGAATTTTATAATTACATCATTCATAACTGACCAATTTCAATTCATGTCTCTATTAACATTAATCTATTTTCAGTTACTTCATTGCATAATAATCTAATGTGTTCTAATTTCATGATTTCCAATCACTATTTCAGTTTTCTGGAACCTTCCCTCCCAAACTCTATATATTCGAAACAAAATTTTATGACCTCATTAACTCTAACGAAATCTTTGCTACATCATGTTAAATATATTCATCCTTCATCGCTCTCTGTTGTATAAGTATGTCAATATCTATAATAACTTTGAATTTTAAATAATTTAGGTTGTAAGCAGCTGATGAGAACCTAACGAAATAAAATGAATTCATATTATTCTGCACCAACCTTTGTTCTTGATCTCTTTAAAATAATAAAGGGAACTATGTGTATGAAATAATCTGAGAATTTGACCCACAACTCGATTCATTCAGTCATTATGTGTTAATCATTTTGATACCTATTAAAGTTGACAAAACTACATTAATTACAGTCAATTCTTAATTCATAATCTGTGTTCAAAGTTGGATCGTACAGTTTATGATATTTATTTGATATCTAACAAAAATTCCCAAAAGCGCATTATCTATTGAAATATTTCCATATATTCTGTCATTACTATCTAGGATAGGACTATTCAGTAACTGTTGAAACTTGGCTCTTTGAACAAACTTTCCTCAGCAGTGCGCATCCAGGACCCTGCTTACGGGATTCGAACCCAGAATCTATCAGTCTCGCGCGCGAGCGCTTAACCTCTAGACCACTGAGCCGGCGTCCAACAGTGTTAATGTCTAACTTCAACTAATCCACGAAATTGAGCGACACATCCACCATTGTCATCACTGAGCTACTATCTCACAACAGACCTGGTTGAACTCCACTGATTATTTGTTTATTAGTTAGTGTTTTTAAATACATTCAAGTTTATAAAGCTTAATTCATATTTGTATTGATCCACTTATCTATGAGCCTAATTTCCTATCTATCTACTTGTATAATATATTTAGTTAACGTTAACTTATAGTATCTCTCTGTACGATGTGAAAATGTAGTACGTAAATTTATTTTGTAAATATTTATTGCATATTATATGCTTTAAATTCAAAGTATTACAAAACTTGTTCCAAAGAATTTACTTCTATTCAGTTGAAAAAATCATCTCATCGTTTTGTAGTCATTATTACTCTGATTATAAATAAATTGAAATGCTCAACATACTACTTTGAACAGAAGTTTATTAAGGAAATTTTTTATATAAATGTATATCATCAAATTATCCAGAAAAATGAATTCACGAATTAGGTTAACTTTGTCATTCCTTCAATTTGCTATCAATGATATTCTAAAAACAGTTCTCATAGTAATGTCAAGTGACATTATAAATCCATTACTTTTAAATATATAAAATGTAGGCTATGAAATTTTTATGAAATCAGTTCGTGATTAACATCCAAAATTACTGTACATGATTTATTAGAAAGTGTTCACGTATTCATTCATCATCAAATGTTATTATACAAAACCTTAGAACTTGACTTAAACTCAATAATATTTAAATGTAATAGGATATGATATGGGTAAATGAATGAAATAATAAAGAGATCACTTAGTTTCTCATTGTAATAAACTGATTTGAAAATAATCATAAAACTAATACTGAATATTGTCACATTCATGATAAATAATTGTCGGAATATTTGTTTGACCAACTAGGTTTTTTATTCGTTAAAAAAAGGCATTTAACCTTAAACTAACAGAATAACACGAATTTTATAATGGTAAATAAAATTCAGTTTGATTTGCTTGATAACAAAGAAATTTGTGTGATTTTCCAAGTCAGTAAATAGTTTTTTTATTATTGTCAAATAGCTACATATTTACTAGTATAGAGGTTGTGGAGATTACTAAGTTTTTTGATTGAGATCATGAACCAATTGATGCTAGACCATCACAATTGAAAACCTGGAATCTGGTATCCATTGAATGCCGGCTCAGTGGTCCAGTTGGTTAAGCGTTCGCGCGCGAGACCGAATACTCTGGGTTCGAATCCCGCTCGCGGGATCGTTGATGCGCACTACTGAGGAGTCCCACAATAGGACGAAACGGCCGTCCAGTGCTTCCAGGTTTTCAATTTTGATGGTCTATCATCAATTGGTTCATGATCTCAATCAAAGAGCTACATATTTCATTTACATATTGATTAAAACAATCTACAATAGTTGTTTTGAAATGCTCATAATCTTTATTATATACTGGAATAAGATCACTTGCTTGACAAATGAGGCTTTCAAACTGGATAGTAGCGTTGAGTCAACTAACATTAATGAATTCAAATTTAAAATCCAGTTTGGAATCCTCATTCGTCAAATAAAAGACTTTATTTCATTAGCTACATACTTCTTAATATGCTTTCCACTGTTTACTATGAAGAAATATAACTTGGTGGTATATTTAGAAGTTCAAGAGGTTATCTAGACAATTTAGGATAGAGACATGGAAAAATCACTCATCTTGGTGTTATATTGTTTACGAAGAGTGGAGAAAAATTAAAATATGAAGGTATACTAACTAAGCTGATATTATTACATCATCATTTTGATTTCATCTTCGGTAGAGGATAAATATTATGGGAGGTAATGAGAACATCCTAAACAAATAAGTAGAACGTTTTCGATGATTAATGTTAAAATATGTACGACGAAATAAAAAAACAGACATTGTTTGTTCGGCAATTAATGCCTGTAAATACGTAGGTGCTTTTAAACACAATGCTTCCAGTTGCTTATAATTTACTGGATATCGAAACTGTTGCACCATAGCATCGTGATACCTGCTATTATTGCCAAACTACATACATTTATTTATTATTCACTTATTGACTTAGAATATGCCAATAAAATAGTTCTATTTGGTGAAGATGCTGACAAAATGCAGTCTTCTGACCACTCTAAGTAACAATGCAAGCATGTTCGGCATGCGATTCTCCCCTCGAAATGCAAAATGTTACTTCAGGATTGGATTGCATTGACACTCGAACTAATCATAGGGAGCGTGTCGATCGCTTCAATTATCTTGGGAGTCTCATCAGCACTTGTGGTTTGGTGTGTGACGAAATCTCAGCACGGATACAGAAGGCTTGACTAGCTTTTTCCAACT